ACGGAACATGATTTGGAAGCAGAGAAGAGGGGGTGGCCAACTGTCACCTCTTCTTTGAGGAGAGAGCACATGCAAGCATAGACCCAAATGCCTGAGTAGGTTTGGAGCTGGCACATCAGGGCATGGACTTTCTTTGAGTTCTCTTCTTTCTCTCATTTCTTTCCTGTGTGGGTGTTTTTTGTGTGTGTTTGTTTGTTTGTGTTTTTAAAAACAGGGTCTCACTATGTAGTCCAGACTGGCCTTGAATTCATGGTGTTCTTTCTGCCTTTCGCCTCCCAAGTGCTGGGATTACAGGCATGTGCCACCCTGCCCAGCCTCCTTTTATTGTTGGGGGGGGGGTGTTCATATTTTGAGACAGAATCTCGCCAAATTGCTGAGTTGTCCAGGCTGCACTGAAAAGGCCATTTCAGAGTGCTGGTATATAGGTGTGGGTCACCACACCAGGTTACTGGTTCTTCCGACCAGAAAGCAGGCCTGAGGGTGGAGTCTCATGAAGAAAAAACAAAGTGCTGTGATATTAGGAGGTTATTAGGTTATTAGGAGAGGCAGGCAGGGACCAGATGATACGGGGCCTGATAGGAGTGGTGTTATTCTAATTGCAACAGAAGACATAAACCAACCCCAAACAAGGAACTGACATTGCATCACTTATATTTTAAAAGCTCTCTCTACAAATAAATTGTGAAAATGAGAGGAGTTTATTTAGTATGTTTGCTATAATCAATTATGCATCTGTAACGGATCATTTACATGTTGGTAACAGATAATTTAAAATGATAATTATTTTATTGTACTGGTGGCTGAACTCAGGACCTACATACTGAGTTACCTCACTATCTCTCCCCCACCCATCTCGTTTTGAGACAGGGTCTCACTAAGTTGCCTATGCTGGGCTCAAACTTGCCATCCTCCTGCCTCAGCCTCCCAGAGTTCTGGGATTATGAGTGTGTATTACCACTCCCAATTTACGAATGATAATTTTAAAAATACCATTTATAAAGGCAACAGCAAAAAGATATAGGGAAAAATCACAAATGAATTTAAAGAGTGCTGTGGGAACATGTTATGAATGTTTTTGGAAGACATGAAAGTAGATCCACGCTCCTGAAGATACATATAACATGTTCGTGAGTAGGAAGGTTTAATACCACAAAGATGTCAGTTCTTTCCAAGTTAGGTAATAAACTCAGTGCAACTCTAATTAAAAATTTCAAGAGTTTTTTTTTCTCCTTTGTGGAACTTGATAATCTTAGGTGGAAGAACAAGGGGCAAAATGAAATAAGTTAATCCTAAGTTGTTCTATTAGATATAAATGTGGCGATGCTGTGGCTGAGAGACATACCAGAAGAAATGAAAAAAAGGCTTCGATATACAACTACATATACATGAGAAAAATTCTTGTTTTGGTGCTAGGGATTGAACCCAGGGCCTCACACTGGTTATTTATATGCTCTATCATTGAGCTACATTGCCAGTACTCTACAAATTTGATGTAAGAGTAGCCATTGGGTCAATGGGAAAAGAAAAGACTATTTTAAAAGTGTTACAGAAACAACTAGTTACCCATCTAAAATACTAACTCAAGATAATTGAAAGACAAAGCCATAAAAATCCACTATTTAAAATATTCAGAAAAAATATAAGAAAGTGTCTTTATGACCTCTGGGTAGAAAAGAACTTGTGATTTAAAAACTCCAACCCCCCAAGTACATGTTTTTGGTAATGTTAACATTAAACATTTCTGTCCACTGCAGATATCATAAAGCAAAAAGATAAGCCACCAACTAAGAAAAGGTATTTGCAAGCTCCCCAAACACAGCTTATTTTTCCAGAATATAGAAAACAAATAACAAAAAGCCTATAAATCAGTGACAATCAATGGGGGAAGTATGTGAAGTTGAAAGTCACAGAAAAGAAAAAAATGAAAGGGCGAAAAAAACCACATGAAATAATGTTCACCTCTACTAGAAACAGGAGAAATGCACACAAACAAGAATGGCAACATTTCTAAAACATCCAATTATATATTTATAATTATATTAAAAATAGCCAGTCTTATTGCCAGGCATGGTGGCTTTTATCTGTAATCTCAGCACTTGTGAGGCAGAGGCAGGAGGATCATTGCAAATTCCAGGCCAGGCTGGACTCCAGTGAGTTTAAGGCCAGCTAGAACTGCACAGTGAAACTTTGTCTCAAAAAACCAAACAAAGAAAAAAAACCTATTACAGGCATGCAATATACAACAGGCATGTTTATAAATTATAGATTGGAGTATAAACTGTTACAATTTTTTTTTTTTTTTTTTTGGTATGGGGGATCGAACTCACAACCTTGCACTTGCCAATCAGGCATTTGTGCCGGTGAGCTAAACCCCAGCCCAACTGTTACAATTTTTAAGAGCAATTTATTTTCAATATCTTAATAATATTGAAATATATTTATTCAATGATACACTAAATTCTAGGTATGTTATCCTCAAAAAGTTTTTCATCTGTATGTAAGAAGACAGGGATATTGACAGCATCATGGGATCTTTAGAAAACCTAGGAACAAGGTAAATGTCCATTGAAAAATAATGAAAATTCTATAAATTACACTCATTTTTATATAAAATAGCGAAGTACAGCTATAGTTACAAGATTAGTGAGGATGAATCTCATGAATATGAGAGAAAAAATTGCAGAAAGATATTTGCAGTGAAAAAAATTACACAAAACACTGTATCTTATTGTGGAGGTACAGATGTAATAAGAGTATCCATGTGTCTTTGGGAGTGATAAACATCAAAATCAAGATAGTTTCATCACTGGGCAATAGAAAGGTGACCAAGATTTGGAGGGCCACAAAGAAGATTTCAGTTATATGTTTGATTTTTAAAAAGTGGGCATGGTGGCACATGCCCATAACCTCAGCACTAAGGAGGTAGAGACAGGAAAGTTGCAGTTAGTTCAAGGCCAGCCTGAATTACAGGGTAAAACCTGGTCTCAAAAACAAACAAACAAACAAACAAAAAAACCTCCCTGTAATCAAGCACTGAGGAGGCTAAAGTAGGCGGATGACCATGAGTTCAAGGCGAGCCTGGGCTACATAGTGAGAGACCCATCTCAAAAAAAAAAAAAAAAAAAAAAGGTGGGTACAATGTTATGGTTCATTAAACTGAAGAATTAATAGGAGGAGGCATGTTAGAAGAGACTCCAAGAGAGGTGGAGTTGAGGATGTTCCAAGTCTGGCACACAGCAAGTGTTCACACTTATGAGCTGTTATTGCTACTATTGCCACCATCATCACCAAGATGAAGCCCAAAGATACAGGGGGATTGTGGAGAAAGGTAAAAACCAGGGCAGCTACCTTTTGCTAGGTGCTTTACTCCCGTCTTGACTACAAACTAGTTTGAAAGGAATCTAATGATCAAGGAAGCGCTAGCCTGAAGGCAAACGGCTGCATAAATCTCTAGTGACTCATTCCCAAGGTCACACAGCCCCACCCCAAACACACCTTTGCTGCTTAGTACTTGAAAGAATTCAAGGACCGTTTCTATCCTATTAATTTACAAGTGGCATATTCTGAGCTAAATATTAGTAAGTCCTTGATATGAAATACATTGGGTTCCCGCCCAAGAGTTCCAAGGAAGGGCAGTTATTTCTGTCACCAGATACAGGGAGGCTAACCAGAGAGGTTCCTAACCTGGTGTCCAAGAACTTCACCAAAATCGTATGTTAAACAGCTCATGACTGAAGGGATGTTTTTTAGGTAGGTCAGTTGTATTTCTAAATCCATGACTTCCCCCAAAAGATTTTAAAAACAATGGTCAGCCGCTTAAAATCTAAGGTCCCACGGTCCTGGGTCCTGGTGGAACTAGTTTTTCCTCACGTTCAGAATCAGTTGATTACAATTTAATCATTAAAATTTAAATGAAAGCCGGGCGTGGTGGTAGATATCTGTAATCCCAGCACTGGGCAAGTTGAGGCAGGGGCATCTTTGCGAGTGAGATCAACCTGGACTACAAAGTGAGTTCAAGGCAAGCCTGAACTGCATAGTGAGACTCTGTCTCAAAAAGACCAAAACAAAGTCAAATGAAAGAAATTACTGGTAAACTAATGTGCATCATGTTTACTGACTGCTAAGATAGAAACGTTATTAAATATACTGAGACATCTTACTTGGGAGGAACAGTGTTATTTGGTTCAACTGGCGGGCAGTCCAGGTGGTGTTACTTTTCAAATTGACAAGTCAAGCTTTTATATAAAAGCTCATATGTTGCATAAAAAAAGTTTTATAGGCCCTAGTGGTCTCCCTGCACAAGAAATGAACGTGATGTGTCAGTGATTACCGCATTTTACACTCATCACGCATAAGCACGAGACCAGCAGAAGCCTATTATCCCAGCACTCTGGGAGGCTGAGGCCAGATGACCTTAAGTTTGAGCCTTGTCTCAAAAAAGGGCTGAAAAGGGCTCAACCCCCAGTACCACAGCAGTTAAAACAGCGCAGAGACAAAGACAGATCTAGGTTGGAGAACGGAACCAAGAATGGGATTTCCACTTGCCCTGGACCAGTCAATGTCTGCGGGCATCGCTTCTCTCCCCAGATCACTTCCAGCTCAAATCCAGGATACACGTGAATATGATTAAAATAGGCAAGACCCCTGAAATCCTAGCACAGCCTTCTCTTTCAACAGCAAAGCACCGGTCACTGCCTCCAAGCATCCTGGAGCCCCAGAGACAGGATCCGCGCCTACAGTCCCGCTCTAGGGCAGTGAGCCTGGGGTGGCGGGCGAAGAGGAGGCTTTGGGAGCAAACTTCACAGGCGGGACTCTACAATTCTAACCCTACATTTAGTAATGAGAGAAGGAGGGAACGCCCCAGCGCCGTACAGAAATGAGACCTGATCAGTTCAGCTAGAGTTACGCTGTGGCACTCAGGTGGGACTCAGGTCCCACCCCTGTTGCGCCACGGAACTTCCGGGTCGGCCTTATCACGTGACCCAGCACCGCCCCGCCCTTGCGCATGCGCACGGTTCCAGGCGCTGAAATTCAAATTTGAACGGCTGCAAACCCGAGTCTGACACTGGAGGCTCAGGGAAGAGGAGAGTTAGTAGTAGGTCAGTTCCCCTGTTGGGGCTTCTTGTTTTCTTCAGGAGACACACTGAACTCCAGACTCACTTGTCTTTTCCTGAATTTGAACCACCCTTTGCGCCGTCTGGCAGTGGGCACGCGACGCTTGGGGCGATGGACCCGTTTACGGAGGTAAGAAAATTTGCGGGCGCGGCCAGCCATGACCCCCTCAGCGACTCCCACCCTGTTTGTCTTCTCGCTGTCAACCTCTGCCCACCCGCCTGAAGAGCGCGTGCGCACGCGTGCGCAGTGCTTGAGAGCGTGCGGGGTTTGGCGCCCCCCGAGCTGGGGAGACCAGGTCTGGTCCTTGCTGCTGGCTGCGCAGCGTCTGTGGTTTGTCTGCGGCTGTGGTGTTCTGGCTCTGCAGACGGAACTCAGGGAGGAAAGCCTTGAGTCTGTTTTTAAAGACGGTAGTGCAGCAGCTGTCGAAGCCCTTATTATTGGGAGTCATGCCGCTCCCCCCCCCCCCCGCCCCGGTTAATCTCCCTCTTGGAGCGTGGGAGTCGAGCTGGAATCGCCGGCAGGGTGTGCCCAGGGACTCAGGGCTGCGTGGCCGGCCGCGGCCTGGAGACCCGAGAGCCTGCGATAAGGGGATTCAAGTGTTTAAGGTCGCTACTAACGAGAGGGCCGCGCAGCCTTGAAATGCGCAGGTGCCTGACCTTTGTGATCCTTCCTGATGTGGGTCTGTAGTTCACACCCCAGGGCTCTGCTGACTTGGGCAGTTTCATACCCGAGATGGACATTTGAATTGAAAGTAAACAGTGCTGCTGACCCCAGTGTGTAAAACCAAGGTTATTAGCCAAAATTAAAAAAAAAAAAAGATGTAATCAGTGTTTATGGAGTGTTAACTCCCAATACCTTTCTCATCTTTTGTTCCTTGGAAATAGTGTGGATTACATCGCTGTTGTGTATCATGTTGAGAATGTTTGTCCACACTCGTTTTGTTTGTCCACATCTTTTTATCTTAAGAAGTTCCTCTTTATTCCCCCCTTTTTTAGGTTGTTATGCAATTTCCAAACTGCTTTTGTGTGTGTGTGTGTGTGTGTGTGTGTGTGCATTGTTACAAAGTGAACCTAAGTATTTCTACACTAGACTGAAAACTTACATGCTGTGGAGTGGAATAATACATTCATTTAGGGATGTATAATTACCATTTCATAAATTAAATCTACGACGTTAATTAAAGGTTTCAACAGTTAAACAAGTTTATTTGTATTGAAGCACAACACTTAGCTTTGTTTCAAATTTTCAGTCATCTTGTGGAAAACATATCAATTTGTTCACCTTAAAGATTCTAATAGACAAGTCCAAGACACATTTTTGTGTTAGTTTTAAAGAATAGGGGGGTGGTCGTATACCAAATATCTGTCACTCACATTGGAGCTAAAAAGCTTGTATTATTTTATGTAGAGTAGAACACACTATATGTTCTCTTTAGTAACTGACAAGAAAGAGTAAATGACAGGAAAGAAACATTTTGAAAGTTGGCTGAAAAATTGTACTTCATTTTATTTAAAAATGTCATTCTAAAGATAGGGCAAATCTCAAACTGTCTAGATAATTTTAGAATCTCCTTAGAAATGTGTTCGCTTTAATAAATGTAGTTTATATTATGAACCGTTAGATCAGTTGCAATTGGAATAACAGCTTTCACATCTTTTCCTTAATTGGTAACGAGTGAACTAGTTGAGTTAGTTCCAACTTCTAGGTGCTTCATGATGGCATTCATAACATTTTTTGTACAGTGCAGTGAATTTCTGGTACATTTACTTCTCTAACAAGGAATTCAAGTCATTTATTAAGTGGCTATCTCAAGAGCTTCCTTCTCAAAATCATGGAGGACTCAATTACTTAAGAAAGTTTTCTGTTTCTCCAAGGGTGACTCAGAGCCAGAGTCATATTGCAAACAGTAAAGGAATGAACTCAATTACATGAATCTCAGGACATGTTCCTATTCTCTTGGGAACTCTCATCCGGAAGGGTTATAGTCATCCTAAACTCTCTTCTCTTCAAACAAGACTTGAGCGTTGGTTGTCCTGGCCACCTCTGCTGCTGTCTGGCTCTTTGTCAGTCTTCGAGCCTTTTCTGCTTTGCAACCATTGACTGGATCACTGCTTGCTATGATCTCCCTTGTCCAGAGAGGAATCCCCTTTTACAGTGCTCATTTCACTTGCATTTCCCTGTTGAATATAATTCCTTGGGAACATGAACCTTTTGAACATAGAGACTGTTCTTTGCTATTCAGAGGTATTTTTCATCAGCTCCAACACAACTAATAATATTTTGCTGAATTAACACAGTAGACAGCCATTAAGTACATACAAATTATTTTTATAAGTCTATTAGAACATTTTAGCAAACTTTTTGTTAACTAAAGAAAATTTCAAAATACATAAAAGAATAACCTCACACACTCAGCATTTTTGCAGTTATCAATGTGCCATTGTTTTGCTTTATCCTGTTTCACCCACCCCACTGTATTATTTTGAAGCAAATTCGGGACATCATATACAGCAGTATCTCAGTTCACAAACAGATCTTTCCACGATTTTGTTCACAAACTGAATTGGACAAGAACCAAATCACATGTCCTCATGAGGTCATCAGTGAGCCTGACCACTGAATTTGATTTGGGTCTGGTACAATTTGGTTTGTAACAATTAAGTTCATGAACCAAGGCACTACTGTAATTTCGTACACAAATACTTTAGATGCTAAAGACTCTTTAATAAGGCATAATCACAATGTCATTACCACACCTGAAAAATTGGAAGTAATTTAGTATCATGGACTAGTGTATGATTTAGATTTCCCTGGTGTATCATATATTTTTATACTTTATATCTTTGAATCTGGATATGGACAGCCACAGGGCAATGTCTAAGTGATTTTTCACGAAGCAACCATAAATAGAGGAAAGAATCCATCCCAGTGATACATGAACTATCAAGCAATGGTGGCACATGCCAGTTACCAGCTGGTAACATTAAAAAGTTTTGTCCATGGTATGAAGTTGGTTATTTCTGCTGACAATAAGTTCTTGAAAAGAGCAATGGCTTTGTCAAGAGCCGTTTAGTAAACTGTTTTAGTAAACTGTTTAAGAACCCAGACCCTGGATCCCAGATTTGAATCCCACTTTGCTACTTAGCTGTGTGACTTACCTTGTTTTACTGGCCTATGTCTCTATCTCTCTTCTGTAAAGTAGTAAAAGAAACAGAACCTACAAAGTACTTTATATTAAATCCTACATAATTGCTACATTATTTCTGTACTTTTTAGATGAATTTAAAACCATAGACTTAAAAGTCTATGGTTTTAGTATGAACTCAGAGTTTGACATGTTATCAAAGATTGGGAGTCATTCTGTTGCAAGACTAGTACAGACAGGGAAACCCAGAGCTCTGTGTGCTAAGTCACAGCTTTTTTTTTTTTTTTTTTTTTGAGACAGGAGCTTGTTATGTAGCCCAGGCTGGTCTTAAACTCACAGCAATACTCCTGTCTCAGCCTCTTCAGTGCTAGAGTTAAGGGCCAGGCTAGGCTACAGTACAGGGTGAACTGTATAGTGACACCCTGTCTAAAAACAAAACAAAACAAAACAAAAAAACCTGGGAAAATTTGAATCTAATGCAGACAATACAATGCTTGATATTTGAATGGCAAACTGCATTCTTTTGTTGTGACCCATTGATGCTGCTAACTGAAGCTATTCTGACTCATGAGTACTCTAACGACTGGTGTGGAATGTGGGCATGACTCTGAGTGAATAGTCTGGCAGTTTGGTGCCTGCAGGGTGATATCATGGGGAGAATTATCAGACATTTTTGTGTTTTCTAACAGTGATAACATTTGACCACGTTTGAGTTTGTTGAAGGAGACTTATTTACAGGGTGACGTCGTGTTTTGATTCATAAATTACTCTTGCAGTGAGTGCCACAGCACCTCGATTTAGTGTCCCTAATTTTAATGAACTTTAAATTGGAAATCTCAGAAGAGAGTTGTACCTGTTCCAAATTTAGCTCATGTTCCTTTTGCATGCTCAAAAGATGTCTTAAACATTATTGCACTTAGTTAAGGAGTTAGAGCAAAAGTGGTATAAGTCCTCAGTCTGCACTATTACATTTTTAAGTGTAGGATGGTTATAATCCGTTTTCCTCCTTTGATTGTATACATTTGGAAAAGAATAAATTGTTTTATACCATGCTGGTTCAAATAGGAACATCAGTTGAGTCAGATAACAAAAGAGGAGTAATCATGATTTCATGGGATGGCTAAGATTTTGATTTAAAACTAATTATTATATGTAGATTGTTATTTTATTTTACTTTTGTCTTTTGTTTTTGGAGACGAGAGTGTCACTGTGTAGTTCAGCCCGACCTTGAACTCACTATGTAGACCCTTTATCCTCTTCACAGCCACCAGTCACATTACTTCGCTGTCTGTTCTTATCAATATATCTTTCTTAACTCTGACTTTCCTGCCTCCTCTTTTCTGATGTAAGAAGGAAGCTTTGTGATTACATTAGACCCACATAGATAATCCAGAATAATTTTCCCAAGATTCTTAATCACACCAGCAAAGTCCCTTGCACTACGAGGTAACATAGTTATAGGCCAGGGGCTTAGGACTTGAACATCTCCAGGAGATCATTATTTTGCTTAACCGACTAACTTAAAAACCACTTTGTTTCTCATAATTCACTGGATTGCAATTTGTACTGGGCTCAGCTGGGCTGTTCGTCAGCTTGTTATGCTGGGGAACTTGAGGATGTTCCTGTGTTCTGGAGTGTTACCAGGGGCAGGGTGGCTGAGACCAGAGCCTTGTGACTGTGGACTGATACTGGCTGTCAGTAGTGATTTTCCAGCAGGCTAAACCTGGGATTTCTCAGGGCAAGCAGTGGTCTAAGAGGGTGAGCAGAGACTGCAGGACTCCTTCAGGGGGATTAGAAGTCACACAGTACAGTGCATTATTTATGCCGCTTTTTATTGGCCCAAGTAAATCACAAGGCCAGCCCAAATTTAAGGTTGGGGAAACTGATTATACCTTTTGGTGGGGCCAGAAAGAATTTGTGGTCATGAATCTTTTTTTTTGGAAACAGTTTGGGTTGACATTGAACTGACTTTGTAGCCCAGGTTGGTTTTGAACTCACAGCAATCCTCCTGCCGCAGCCTCAAAAGTGCTGGGATTACAGACATGTGCTACCATGCTTGCTCCTAAAATCTCATGATTATTAGTATGCCTTATTCCTTAATATTCTTATTAATCTGTATTGATTTTGAGATTGAGGTGGTGTTTGGTAAAGCTTGCCTTAATTACTTGGGATCTCACTTTTGAAATGTCTTGAAACTCTTACCCTACATGACATTGGATGGTTTTAGACGAATGGGTTTTTGTAAATATTTGACTAACCTGGCTATGTTGTATATGTAGAAACTGCTTGAAAGAACCCGTGCCAGGAGAGAGAACCTGCAGAGGAAAATGGCTGAGCGGCCCACAGCTGCTGCCAGGTCTGCAGCTCATGCCAAGCGACTCAGGGAGCCTCTTTGCGAAGCCAGTAACCAGCAGTCCCAGTCCGGCAGTGAAGGTAAAGCACTTAAGAGGAAAATGAAATTTGCAATTTTTAAAGAAGATAACGTGTAAACATTTCATTATGCATGCAGAAAAAATCAGAGTCTTTGGAGAACTATAGTAGCCTCTGGAGGCCAGAATGGCCTTGTGTTTTATTTCAGGATTGTTATATGAGGCCTAGAACCTCTCAGGCAGCAGTAGTAAGTAAACAGTATTTCTAACTAATTGTTTAAGCTTTATATTCAATTGTAATTATCCTTAAAAGTCCCACAGGAAGAAAAATAAAGAGTGACACACTGGCAGTGGTGTGGGGCTTTTCACCCCAATAGTGACCGAATAGCTGGCTGCTCAGATGGTATGTCTGGCATGAACAAGGCAACAGAAGGCAGCCTGCATGCGAATACTCAAGATTAAATGTACCTTTTTCTTTTTCTTTTTTCTTTTTTTTGATACAGAGTCTTGCTATGCAGTTCAGGCTGACTGAACTCAGTTTGTAGCCGAGGCTGGCCTCAAACACGCAGCAATCCTCCTGCCTCAGCCTCCTGAATACTGGGATTACGTGCGTGTGACACCACACCCAGCTCAGATGTACCTTTTTCATGTTGTGTTTGCTAAATCACCTCTCTGGGGCTGGGTTCAAAATCCAGAGTTTTAATCTTTAGGAGTCTACGAATTAAAAAACAATTGTAGCACATATACACACACATCTTCACCTGGAATCTTCTGTTCTTTCCAAAATTCTGGCATCTCTAGCCACCACCAATCTTTTTCATGGGGTAATAACCCAGGAAACAGTCTGGAGATAATAGTCTTCCTGGGTACTATTTTTAAAAAATTTAAATATAGAAAAAAAGCATTACAGGGGACTAAACCAATGTTACAAAAAACCAAAGAGGCATGGAGCTGGCTCAGTTGTTTCAGAAGCTAACTGAAGAATAAGAATTTATTTTCATATGTTTGTACATTTTGAAGGGGAATCTGTATTCTGTATTACTGCTAATTATTTATTTTGAGATTTTAAGCCAGGAACATGAGACCTAGCTCTAGTCTAGAATCTTCTGTTTTCACTGTGACACTTACACGCAGTATTTCTGAGACTCATATACTTCAAAGCTAGACTGAGAACTTTGTTTTTTGACATAGGGACCTGGAACTCACTGTGAAATCCAGGCTGGCCTTGAACTCATGATGATCCTCTTGCTTCATCCTGCTGGGATCACAGGCATGTACTATCATGCCCAGCTCCCATTTTGATATTCAAGTGACAGTATTTAGTGTTTTATAAAAGAACTGTGTTTGTAGAACCTGAAGGATCCTTAATCTCCAGATGATGTTTCATGTTAAAATGGAAGCACTTTAAAGAATGTTTGGAAGGGTTTGCAGACCAATCCATAAGTGATTTGGGGAGGACTGAGAAGCCTCTTGGTGTCTGTGTTTATTTACGTTGCTGATGAGAACAGTCATGACTTCCCATTGATACTACTATTGTTACTGCCAGAAAAAACAGGTGCCAATGAGACGACTCTATGAAGTTCACATTCTTTTAAAAATATTTCCAAGAGGCGTATTGGAAGGCATGTGGAGGTGGAAGAAATATGCCTTAAGTTTGGACAGCTCCTTTTGATTTTAGGATTTTTGGCTTATAGGTGTTCACAGATGTGAAATATTAAATACTGTATTGATGATTTCACTGAGTATTGGCCGCATAATTCAGGTGCCTTGTCTGATTTCTGCCTCTCTCATGAAGCCCAAGCTAGGTGCTCTTCTAACTTAGCTTACTGGTTATTATCCATGAAGGATTGTTTCAAAGATGGAAATCCCATTTTCTTCCCTTAGCTTAGCTGTATGACTGATGAGTGGCTTAGTATCCCCAGACTTGACTTTTCTTAACTAAATATGAGACAGTGGGTTATATGATCTTTAAAATCCCAAAGGGCACACACTTATTCTATGTGCATGCACTTTCTTGCTCTGTTGTCTTAAAACCATTTGAAGCTGTTACTTAAATATTCATCATGGTTTTTAAATCATAAGTTACACGTTCACTTAAGTCTTTTTTTTTTTCTTTTCTTTCTTACTTTGCTTGTTTCTTTTTCTCTTTTTATTTTTGGTGCTGGAAATCCATCTCAGAACTTAGTGCTTGCTGGGCAGGTGCTTATGCCACTGAGCTATATCCCTGGTCCTAAAAGAACACTTTCAAATTAGATTTCTGAGTTACTTAAAGAGTGGTGTTTTTACATATGTCTTGTGACTAAAACATTTAAACTAAGTGTTAGAGAAACATAATGTTATATTTGTTAAGTACCTACTTCAAGATTTTCATACTGTGAGAAATTACAGGAGTTTCAATTTTTTTGTTGTTCTTTTTCGTCTAGAGAAGTCTTGTACAAAGCCATCCCCATCAAAAAAGCGCTGTTCCGACAACAATGAAGGAGAAGTTTCTGACTTGGAAAATAAACAGCCGGCTGAGACAGCTGCTGCGAAATCTTGTTCTCCCAGCCTTGCGTCTCCTCAGGCTCGGCCTGCAGCACCCGCTGGGGTCAGGGACTCTGAGACTACCCCAGCATCACTGCCGGGCCTGGGGAGAAAGCTGAACTCAAGACTGGAAGCAGCTGCAGCCTCCTCAGTTAAGACACGCATGCAGAAGCTCGCAGAGCAGCGGCGCCATTGGGATAACGATACAGCAGGTATCAGTGATGTGGGTGGAAAGGCAATAAATCCCTCTCCCTAAGATTCAGTTTGAGATTTGAAAATTTTATCAGCTAATCCAGAGCATCCTTTGTATGCGAATGGTTTCTACCCCAGTTGTATATGATAGTGTTCTCATTAAAGTAGGTCGGGATGAGGCTCTTGGACCACTTTATGGCGGCCTGACTAAGAAACTTGCCCTAGGGTAGGCAGCTAAAATTCAGACTCTAGTAGTTTGTTCCTGGGACTCTAATCTCAGCTGCAGTGACCTGGTTGTTGTCTGGTGGCACACAGCGTACAGATCGTTTATGGCAGTGGTGATGAATCTTCTTTCAGTGATGCAAATAGCCTGTGGCGTGTGTGCCATAGGTTTGCTGCCACTGGTTTATAGTGTCATTTAATACAGAACCTGTTCATCCTGGTAGTGGGTAAGCTTAAGGTTTGGAGAAAGAATCTATAGGAGGTGATGGTTGGTGGAGGATGATGAGAAGGGAGGAAGAGGACAGCTTTCTGGCCCCTCTGATAGATAGTTGGTGATATCTGGCTGGGGATTTAGCTCAGTGGCATAAGCGCCTGCCTTGCAAGCGTGCAGTTATGAGTTCAATCCCTGGTACCAATCAAGTTGCTGATGTCATTTACTAAGAGGAGTATGTTTGGGGCAACCTCGTCTTCAGGAGTATCACTTAGGATACTTGTGAGAAAGCCAACTAACTGTAGGTAGCTGTCTTTGGGAAGCCATAAGAGATGGGCCATGGAGATAGAAGAGCTCATAGAGAATGATAAATGGAAAAGAAGGAACATATTTTAGAGATGTTAAGAAATACAAGCCCTGCACGGTATGTACTGCTATCTAATGATAATAGCAAATCAACTTCGGGGCAGTGATTTAGATAGAGAGCGGGTTTAGCTGTGAGTGAATATTGTGTAAAGAGAGGATGATGCCTAGCTTTATTTCCCATTATTTTGTAATAGATTCATTTATTTATTTATACTTGAGATTGAATCTAAGGACTTTGCACTGGGTCTTGCTTCTAGCCGTATGCAGATCTGTCATATGTAATTTTTAGATTTTGAGATACGGTCTCACAGAATTGCTAAACTGTGCAGGCTGGGCTCAAACTTGTGATCCTTTTGCCTCAGCCTCTCAGAGTGACAGTATTGCAGGCTGTACCACCATGACTGGCTGCTTACGTTTAAAACGAAAAGGACTTGAGAGCATATTTATGTCCAGAAAAGACAGACTTTGTAGCCAAGAGAAGAGGGATGATTTGGAGCAAGATTTCTGAAGAGGTCTTGCAGTGGGTAGCACTGAAAATCAGGCAGGGATGGAAGCCTTGGGCAGAAGGAGGGATACCTTTCCCTTTGACTGCATTTGTGGAACAGGAAGTGCGTGCACCTCAGTTTCCCTCTATCCGTATGCACACAGGCCTAGAGCTTTCCTCAGCTAAAGATTACTGTGCAGATTTACCTCCAGATGAAGGAACTGCAGAAAAACTGACTTGGCCTGTTACCCGAACAGATACTACTAGCCTTGTTTAACTATATTTAAAATTAAATAAAATTTAGATTTTCAGTTACCCTGCCTCATCTTAGGTACTCACTAGCTACGTGTGGCTTGTGATTACTATATTGAGTAGCGTAGATATAGGACATCTCCAATCATGTTATGAAATTCCATTTCACAGCTTTGGTCTAGTTCATTTTTAAAACAAAAGTTCTTGTGGGTAGAATACACAATCTTTAATTATGCAGTATTGTAGGTCCATGAATTGTTTTAAAAAATAAAACGCAAATACAGTATTCACGAGCTATCAAAAATTCATAGAAGTAGATGTTAACAGTGTTTTCTTTTCAAATGAGCATAAGCATCATTTGATTTGAAAAGATATAAACTTAAATAGTGTGATATTTTGTGCATGCAAGAGTTTTTTAATGATTCTTAAATCTAGTAATTTTAAAGTTCTCCATGGAATGCTTTTTTTTTTTCTTAAATGCACTGTAAATATAACTCCTTACTGTTTTTCTAGAAACATTTTCAGATGATGTACCTGCCAGCACTCTCTTCTCTGCAGTGCCAGCTGAGGGAAAGGCTTCCTCGCCTCCCAAATCTCCCCTTTCTGGTGTTTTAGCAACCCCAGTTGGGAGAAGGGGCCGTCTGGCCAACCTTGCTGCCACAATTTCCTCCTGGGAAGATGATGTCAGTTACTCATCTGCAAAGCAAAACAGTGGACAAGAACAGCCTGGTACCACTTGTTTATCCAAATTTTCCTCTGCAAGTGGAGCATCTGCTAGGATCAATAGCAGCAGTGTTAAGCAGGAAGCTACATGCTGTTCCCAGAGGGATGGCGAAGCAGCTTTGAACAAAGCCTCATCCTCCAGCGCTGCCACTGCCTCTGTTCTTCAAGCCTCAGTTTCCAGCTCTGTGGTGAGTTAATACCATTTTGGTCTTGAGAACCATTTTTTTTCCTACTTTTTTGCTATTAGAGGTAATGATACACCTGTATGTAGGTATGTATTTTACAGTCTATGTGTAATGTGTTTATGTGTATTTATGTTGTGTTTATATAGAATTGTAGGATATTAGTTTCATAGAAAGTGAAAATCGTAAATTTGGTAACCTATCTCAAGATAAATGGACATTTTGAAACTGAAATTACACTAATTAAATGCAAATTCAAAGTATCTAATAATGGAATGACCAAGCTTCTTCTTGGTCAGAGGGACCACTGGAGATGAACTTCTCCATTAGAGTGCTTTATGGATATTAAGACACTGAGTTTATTTCTCAAAAGACATAAACCAGTGGCTGTAGTTGCATCCAGGAAGGCAAATTGCCAAACAGTAATGCGAGGGGTGACACTTTCACTGTGTGTCCTTTTGAAGTACTTGAAACTTTTAGTTCATGCATGTATCATCTCACGAGATAAATAGTCTTAAAAAAGAGAGAGAGAAAAGAGTATTGTGTTCCTGATGATTGTCTTTTAGTATGGAGAAAGGCTTTGGCCTTAGAACTGTGTTCAGTCCTGGTTCTGCCACAGAATTAGAAATGTGACGGGTTAACTTTGTATAAAAGACTTACTCTTGCAATGTCATATTTTTGTGTATGTAAAATGGGAGAAGATAGGGTTACTGGGAAGGATCAATAAGGTAGTATGCATAAAGCACTTACTGTAGTTCCTGTCAGTATCCTAGGTACTAAGAATTTTTCATAATTAGCCATCAAGTACCTGATGCTGTTGATTGAGGATCACTAATCTGAAAATCTGAAATTGAAATGCTTCAAAATGTATGGCTTTCTGAGCACTGAAATGATACAAGTGGAAAATTCTACACCAACCAACTTTCACTTGTGAGCTTATTAAAAATATATAAAATAACCATCAGACCATGAATCTAAGATGTATATGAAACATAAATGCATTTTGTGTGTAGACTTGGAGCCAAGATATCTTATTACAAATATTCCAAAACCTGAAGAATCTGAAATTGGAAGCACTTCTCATCCCAAGCATACGGAACAAGAGATACTCAACCTGTGTCTTGTGAATTGTTAACTGAAATACAAAAAAAAAAAATGTGATTTGACCAAATATAATTAAAATTTAATAGGTACTAGTGCAATAATATGAAAAGGCTTATAAAATGAGTCATCGTACTCCTAATACTTAATTACCCTTTAATATATAACTTACATGTTACAATTTAAATAATAATATTGGTACTATGTAAGTGTCATCTATTAGAGAATAAGATTTTTTGCATTAAGCTTTTCATAAAGGCTATCAAGTAAATAGAATTTGAATTTTTTGCTGCTGCTGTAGGGTTGCCTGAGAGAATATAAAGGTTCTTACCCTAATTTTTATCATGTTTCAGAAAGGTACTGCTTCCCCTGTGAAGTTGTCTGCATCCACCACCAGTGCTAAAAACTGTGAGGGGCAAAATCCTGAGGTGCGGCAGCAAACTGTTAGTCCTCTGAAGACAGAGGTGTCGGAGCCTGCTGGGAAATCTGCGTTATCCCAGGGAGCTAGGCCCAAAGAAGAAGGAAACAGAGAAATTTGTGTGCAGTCTCAATCTAAAGACAAATCTGCAACTCCAGGTTATATATTTTTTAAAAAAATCTTAAGTTGCTGCTTTTTAGGCAAAGTTTTATTCTCAGCAACATAAATTTACAGTTGTGACTGGTTGGTTGCCAGGATCAGTGTCAGGTGGTTCTGAATGTGACTTTTTCAGCTTTCATTGGATGAGTACTTATGAGCGCAGACTAGCTCATCAAGTACTCAAGTATTAATTGTGTACATTGTAACGGGTTAAATATTGTAACGGGTTTTTCCCCAGAACTGTCATTCTAGATGTTTTCTTAAGTATAGTTTTATGTAGGAAAAGAGTATACAACTGGAAGTCACATTTTAGGAGTGTAATGGAGAAACATTTTGGAACCAAGTATACAAAACAGTTTCTGTCTTCACTTGAAGTCACTTTAATAGCAGAGAGGAGTGAGTGGGCATAAGCTACTCCACTGCCAGTTGGATCTCTTCTCTTCTCTTCCCTTCCCTTTTCTTTCTTTTTCCTTCTCTTTCTTTCTTCTTCTTTTTTTTGACCAAGCGTCTGTTGCCTCAATTTCCCAAGTGCTAGGATTGCAGGTATGTACCAGCATCCCCCACTCTCTTTTCTTCTTTTGTTTTTTCTTTTTTTGGTTTTTTTGAGACAGGGTCTCAATATGTAGTTCAAGCTGGATTTGTGCTAACTATGTAGCCCAGGCTGGTTATTTTCCTTCCTCAGTTTCCTAAGTAGTGGGATTATAGGCATGTGCCATCACACCTTGGCTCCAGCCACATTTTCGTATGTGTACACTGTGTGTGCAATTATCATATAAATGCCCATGTTTCTTTTATTTTTTTTTTCTTTTTTTTTTTTTTGGTACTGGGGATTGAACTCACGACTGTGCGCTTGCAAGGCAGGCACTTATGCTGCTGAGCTAAATCCCTGGCCTGAGCCTGTTTCTTACCATGGTAAACTGATACCCCATGAAAGGCATGCTTTATCTTGTGATAATTTACATTTTCTGATACTGTCCATATATTGTTGGTTAAACATAGTGCTAAAAAGTATGGTGCAACAAAAAAAAGTATGATGCAAATATACAGTAATAGAGTTTACTTTGAACTATATTCTTTTTTTTTATTGGAAAAATGATTTTTAATTCTAAAAATCAACTTCTTGGTGGGGATAAAGTTCTGTAGCACAGTGCCTGCCGTGCAAGCACAAGGCCCTGAGTTTGATTCCTGGTACACACACACACACACACACACACAAAAAAAAAAAAAAAAAAAAAAAACTTCTTGAAAACATAATCCTTCTAAAAGCTATAGTTACTAGTAGGGAAGCTGTTAGTTATTGGGTCACTAGAAACCAGCAGTCAATTTTGAGATGAACTAAAATAAGAGTTTCTGTCTTTAGCACCACCACTGTGATCTCCCCAAATAAAAAATACCCCCCACAAAAACAATAGATAGATTTTCCATGTGGAATAGGACTAATCAGTCCCAACTTTTTAAAGACTAAAAGCTTAGATGATAAGCATTCTTATTGTTTTTATTTCCTAGATATAGTTAGCATACTTTACATTATCAGGCCTCAAAGATACTTGCTTTAGATGTTTGTCTCCTGGACGAACTCCCATTTGAGATATGGCAGGAAGTGATGATAAGTGACAGGTGGAGTCTTAAGACTGTGGGCACAGGTGAGAGTCTGCCCTTTGTTTTTTTTCTTTGTAAATAAAGTTTTATTGGAACACAGATGTATTCATTCATTGAGGTATTTTTCTGTGTTTGCTTTCATGCTATAATGCAGAGTTAAATAGCTGCAACAGAGACCGTATGGCCTGGAAAGGCCAAAACATTTACTGTTTGACCCTTTACAGGAAAATGTTTGTGCTTGTCTTATACAAATAGGCCTATTTTTATATAATATAGCCCTAGAACTTTCAGTGGAGGAGGTGATATTTACCCCATTTGCCCTACTGAAAACGTACTGTATTTTACATCATTTCAAGTAAGTGTTACTTTAAAACTTTGTAAAATAAAGACATACTTTTGGTGACATGGAAAATCATTTTCTTTTGAGTCAGGATGCAGATATTTACATGTTACACTTTACGAAAGCAAGGAGAAATAAATTGAACTATAGAAATGTAAATAGTTGGAAGTTATCATGGCCAGGACACTTAGTAGATTTATTTGTATACCTATAGTCAATTTCTGATCAGTTACATTTTGATCATTCAATTTGAAAAGTTTTTAATCCCACTGCCTTCTTACTCTGTTTTTAACATTTTTTTCCTTTTGACACTGAGCATTGAATCCAAGACCTGTGCATGCTGTATTAAATGATCTACTATGAACTACATCCCCATAAACTCTTTTCTAAAAAGAATTAAGTCCTATAAATACATTTTAGAGCATGTAATTAAATAGAGCCATATGCTATGTTTTTGGACTGTTTTCATACTGTTTGCTTTGTCATTAAATATTTTCAGTAGCAGCAAAGTTGTTTTTGTTTATATTTTTAGGTCTGATTATGTAGTTCAGGTAGAATCTCAAAAGGCAGAATCTCACCTGTGCTCTACCTGACACCATCACTTCATGCCATATTTCTTTCTTTTTTTTGGTACCGGGGATTGAACTCATGACCTCATGTTTGCCAGGCAGGTGCTTAAGCCACTGAGCTAAATCGCTGGTCCTTCTGCCATATTTCAAGTGAGAGTTCATTCAGAAGACAAACTCACTACATAGCCCAGGCTGGCCTCAAACACACTGTAACCCTCCTGCCTCAGCCTTTTAGGTGCTGGGATTGTAGACATGTGCAAAGCATTTTGTGACTAATAGATTTTAGAAGTTTTTCTGTAGAAAACGACTTACTCTGAATGGCCTCCAAAACTGTATTTTTTTTCCGCAGGAGGAAAAGCAATTAAGCCTTTCCTGGAACGCTTTGGAGAGCGTTGTCAGGAACGCAGCAAAGAAAGCCCAGCTCGCAGCACACCCCATAAGACCCCAGTGATCACCCCAAACACAAAGGCCATCCAAGAAAGATTGTTCAAACAAAATGCAGGCTCATCTACTACCCACACGGCACAGCAGCTCAAGCAGGTATGGCTTATCCCATGCCATTTTATTTATTGCATGGTCTCAGCATAGAATTTAGGAATCAAAATGTGATTTCTGATGCTCATCTTCTTTGGCTGAGATAAACAGTACCTTAGGTGTCTTACTCACTGCAAAATGGAAATATTGCCCTATATTCCATGTGTATTGCAAACTCAGTTTTAAAGCTGAAGACAAGGAAAGCCCTAGTAGTGCTTGGGCATTGTCCTTCCCCTGCTTCCAGCCTCTGTATAAAACGCATCTTTCAATGGGTTTAGGAGCGCCAGAGAGAACTAGCCTGTCTCCGGGGCCGAGTTGACAAGGGCCATTTATGGAGCGCGGGCAAAGGCGAGGACTCAGCAAGGAAACCGACGGAAACCAAACAGGTACTGTGAGCGGGAATAGGACTGCCAGCTCAGCACCAGTGTAGTGTTGGGACTTAGTTGGTAGTTTGTATTGTAAGTACGTTTTTACATGCTTGCCCTTTGCAATGAAGTCTGACACTTTGCATTCATAAACTCCTTAAATGTAAAAACAGCTCTGCTTTGCTTGTATTTTCCCATTTCAGTGGACCTCTTCACCATGTTCACCATAAGATAGAAATATTCTCATCATTCAGTGTCAGATTCTTCTTCATATTCTGCTTAGATCCTGGTTCTGGTGGAATCTGTACTCTTCTCATTGACGTGGCTGTTTACTTCTGAAATATGCTGCTTTTACACTGTTTGCAGACCTGTTACCATTTACCTCCCAGATTTCTGTCTATTCTTGTTAAATTTTGTAAATCAGCTTTCCAAAATTTCCCCACTTAAAAGTAAATTATGTTCTACTTTAGTTGCATAACTACAATATATTAGGATATATTTTTTAACTAATAGAATTACATTTACAGTGGTGACTAGGAGAAAGAAAAAGAGAAAATTAACCAGAATTCTTTGAGAAAGATCTACTTTATTAATTCTATGTTTGCCTGTTCTCTAGCTTAATAAGTCTGTTTCTCAGATTTTTTTTTTTTCTTGTCTTTTTGAGACAGGGTCTCTCTATGCAGTTCAGGCTGGCCTTGAGCTCACTTTGTAGCCCAGGCTGGTCTTGAACTCACAATGATCCTCCTGCCTCAGTCTCCTGAGTGCTGGGATTACAGACATGAGCCACCATGCCCGGCTGTTTCTCAGATTCTGACCTCAGCCTTTTCTTCTCCCTCCCCTGGATCATCCTCTTCTCAGGTCTGGGTTCAGCTAAGTTCAGAGGTGGTGATGGCCTCAGCTCTGCTGTGCTGAACTCAAGGCTTGGTTGACTGGTAAAGCCCACTCATTTCTCTTCCCTTGTAGTTTTTGTCTGCCTTGTGGCTCTGCCCTGTACTTTGCCATCTAAAGTACTCTGGTAGTTCTCCCTTGGCGCCTTCTTATTTACTGTGTCTTCCCCTCTGACTGCCATGGATGCACACACACATAAACCCAGGGGTCCAATGGTAAGTTTTCGAAATCTGTCACCAGGCTTCCTGACTTCTATATTTTCCTCTGCCATTGCCGTAGTCAGTACCAGAGCTGAGTATTGGACACCTTGCTTTTCTCCAGCTGCTTTCCAGCCCCTCTCACCCAGGACTACTGGACAAATTTCTTCATGCAATGTTGGAGACAGAATCCAGGGCTTCATGCATGCCGCACAAGCACTGTACCACTGACCTAGACTCCCTGCCCCAGGGAAATACTTTTTAAAGGCAAATATTAATGAATGTATCCCCTTGTTAAAGTCTTGGCAGGCTCCACGAATTCATCATCATGACAATGAGTAAACTGCTTGGCTTGCTGCAGAGCCTTTCCCCAGCCTTCCGGCTCCTCCTCAGCGGGCTCTTCCGAGGCTGCCTGTCTGCCGAGCCTGCAGACCTTTGCAGGGTTGCTGTCTCCATGCCTTGCTGTTCTTGAGTAGGAGGAGGCTGAGAGGAAGAGCTCAGGGAAGTTATATTTGAAAGAAAGGAAGAAAGGTGCTGATCCTCAACATCAACATTGGGTGTCGTCTTTTTTTTTTTTTAATTCCTTTTTTTATTGGTACATTTTAACTTTTTTTGGTACCGGGGATTGAACTCATGACCTTGTGCTTGCCAGGCAGATGCTTATGCTGCTGAGCTAAATCCCTGGCCCCTTACTGGTACTTCTTAGAGATACATACACAGTGATCACATTCATCATATTCCTATGTACCTGTCCATGATATATCCTGCTTCTTTCCCACCGCCATTCCTCTTCTTTCCTTTAAGCCCCCTTCCACTCTATTTACAAAAAAGCTTTGTTTCCGTTTTTTCCTTCTATTTTTTTCTTGTCCCTTCCTTCCTTTTCCCCTCCTCCTCCCTCTCTTGTTCCCCTTCTGATTTGGAAATTTGCTTCCCATTTGCCAATATCTGGTGCACATTTTGATCCTTATTCACACTTTTTGGCTCTCCCGTCAGAGAAATTGTGATATTTGACCATGTGTGCCCAGTTTACTTAAGATACGGTCTCAAGGTGCTTCCATTTAGCTAGAAATGCCTTGAGCTTATGGCGTAGTACTCCACTGTATAAAAATAAAGCTGTATTTTTTATTCCTTTATCACTGGATGAGCATTTGGGCTATTTCCAAGATTTAACTGTTACAAACTGTACTGCTATAAATATGGAAGCATGGATATACATGTATTGCTGTAATACAATGTTTTTAATTTTTTGAGAAAGACACTAAGCAGGGGAATAGCTGGGTCAAATGGAACTTGACCATTTTTGTTTTTTGGTACCAGGAATTGAACTCATGACCCTGTGCTTGCTAGGCAGCCACTTATACCACTGAGCTATATCCTTGGTCTGGTCCTGGTTTTTTATTGCCTTCCACAGTGGTTGCACCAGTCTAAACTCCCACCAAGAGTGGAGAAGGGTTTCTTTTACCTGTAACCCCTCCAGCATTTGTTATTGGTTGATTTCTTGGTGATAGCCATTCTTTCTGAAGTGGAAATCGAATCTTAGTATTTTTTTTAACTTATATCTCTCAAAAGACTAGTGATATGGAACATTTTTTCATGTATTTGCCATTTCTAGTTCTTCCTCTGATAAGTATGTATTCATGTCAGATGCCTATTTTTGGATTGGGCCTTTAAATTTAGGGGGTCCGATTTTTTGAGTTCTTTAGATATTCTAGATAGTAATCCTTGAGGAACAGCTGGTAGAGTTGGTTGTTTCCTCACTCTGCTGGTGGTTTCTCTTGCTGTATAAAAGATGTTTAATAAGATGAGACCCTAGTTGTTGATTCTTTGTGGTAGTTCCTGAGCCATCAGGGTTCTGTTTATAAAGTCTGCCTACCCCACTGTCTTCAAGAGTTCTATGTGTTCTATTTTCCAACAGATTTAATATTCTGTTTAAATATTGAGATCTTTGATCCATTTCAATTTTAATTTAGTGTGTGGTGAAAGATAGGGGTACAATTTTAATTTTCAGCATATGGAAAGCCAAAACACTGTTATAATTTTGATTGGGGTTGCATTAAATCTGTATAACAATTTTGGAAGTATGGCCATTTTCTTTTCTTTTTTTTTTTTTTTTTTTTTTTTTTTTGGTAATGGGGATTGAACTCGGGAGTCCACACTTGCAAGGCAGATGCTTTATGCTGCTGAGCTAAATCCCCAGCCCCAGAAGTATGGCCGTTTTCACTGTGTTGATTCTTCCTACCCAAAAGCAAGGCATATCTTTCCATTTCTGATATCCTCATCAATTTCCTTTTTCAGAGTATTGGAGTTTTCAATGTAGTGGTTTTTTGTTTCCTTTGTTAGATTGATTCTTAGGTATTTCCTTTTTGGGGGAGGCTATTATGAAAGGTGTTGTATCCCTAATTTCTTTCTCAGTGAGTTTTTGTATAGGAATGCTATTGCTTTTTGAGTGTTGACTTTGTATCCAGCTATGCTATTAAATTTGGTTATTAAATCTAGAAGTGTTCTGGTGGAGTTTTGGAGTCTTCTATAGTGTGTCATTTGCAAATAATGATAATTTAACTTCTCTCTATCCTTATTCCTTTTTCTTTCTCTTCTCTAACTGCGTTAGCTAATGTTTCCAGAACTATATTGAATAGAAGTGGTGATAGTAGGCATCCTTATCTTGTCCTGATTTTAGAGCAAAAGCTTACAGTGTTTGTCCATTTCATATGATGTTGGGTGTTTTTTCTTAGATGGCTTTTATTAGATTGAGGTAAAGATCATCTATTACAATTTTCTGTACAGTTTTTTTTTTATTTTTATGAATGGGTGTTGATCTTTGTCAAATGCCTTTTCTGCATGTATTGAGATGGTCATATAGATTTTGTCCTTGGCTCTGTTAATATGGTATATTACATGTATTGACTTGCTTTTGTTGAACCAACTCTACTTCTCTGGGATAAATCTTACTTGGTCATGGTGTATCATCTTGATAATTTGTTGCGTTCTATTTGACAGTACATTATTTTTATTTATTTATTTATTTTTTTGGTCTTTTTCATTTTTCATTCACGACTGCCTGCTTGCAAGGCAGGCGCTTATGCCGCTGAGCTAAATCCTTAGCCCCCAGACAGTACATTATTGAGGATTTTTGCATCTGTGTTCATTAGGGAGATTGGCCTGTAATTCTCTTTCATAGTTGGATCCTTCTCTGGTTTTGATATCAGGGTAATACTTGCTTTCAGGAATGGATTCGGGAGTATTGCTTCCTTTTCCGTTTCACTAAGGAGTTTGAGAAGTGGCAACGTTAGGTCTTCTCTAAATTTCTTGCAGAAATTCAGCAGTAAGTTCATCAGGTTTTAAAACTATTTGGTGCTAAGTAATTCCTGTTAAGCTTATGAGAGATTCAGGCCCAGACAGTGGCACATATGTGTCCCAACAGGATTCTGAGTGGCATAACAAGGGATCCTGGTCTTTACCCCTTGATGTCATTTCTGGTCCCCACAGAGAGAGCAGCCAAAGAGGTGAGAGGAAATGCAGCTGATTGTAGTGCTGCCAGAGCCCTGGGAAAAAAGAAGTGGCCAGTATTGTCCAGTGTCAAGAAGTGTGGGGCAAGCCAAGTACACTGGGCTTTACATCTAGAGAAAGTGGCGACGTGGGGAGAGTAAAATGCAGGCAGTGCTGGCTTGGGGAGACGGGAGGGGAGAGCAGAGCCAGGGAATACTACAGTTTACTAGCGTGAGAACCTTGTTGCCTTCATCTTTGGTCGTGCAGGGGGAATTGGAGAAAACCTGATCAGGAACAGAGCCACAGCTGGAATTTTGCTTCTAAAGTACAGGGAGAGCAGAGGCATGGCTGGAGGGCATGGAGTAGGAAAGCGCGGTGTGTGTTGGTTGGTTTGAAAGTCAGTTTTGCTGTCAGATGGCAGGGAGCTGGTAGTGAAAGTCAGAGAAGCTAAGAAGATAGAGTGATTGGTGATTTGATGGGACGAGGAGGGAGAGCGTGATCTTGGAGCACAGAGAGGAGAGAAGCAATCAGGCCGTCTGGTGTGATGGAGAGGAAGGAGGAAAATTACTAATTGCTGTAGTCTTGGGGCCGTGAAGGAAGAGACGGTGGCCTTTGTGTCTGATGGTGCTACTCTGCTCATTAGCAAAGGGAACAGGAGAGGTGAAATGCTTCTAGGAGGATGGATGAAAGGGCTGACATAGAAGGAGAGGGAGGTAGGGTGGTGCTGAGACTCAGGTGGGATATGAGGCTGTGCATTTATGATGGAACCAGACAGCCGGTGTTTACTCCTGCTGTGGGCGGATTACAGGAGGCGAGGGATATTCATCCCACGTAGAAAGGGGACTGGCACATTTTAAACTCTAGGTTTTATTTATTTATTTAGTTGGCACCAGGGATTGAACTCGGGGCCTCATTCTTGCTAGGAAACTCTAGGTTTTTAGCTACTGATATTCTTACTGTTACTTGATTATTTCTGGTATTGCTTTAAACTAGTCTTTTTTTATTCTTCTTTTTGAGACAGGGTCTCCCTATGTAGTTCAGGCTGGCCTTGAACTCACTTATGTAGCCCAGGCTGGCCTTAAACTCCCAGTGGTCCTCCTCCCTCAGCCTTCTGAGTGCTGTGATTACATTCATATGCCACCATGCCCGGCTTACCATGAAGTTTTTTTTTTTTTTTTTTGTACCATGAATTAAACTCATGACCTTGCACTTGCTAGGCAGGTGCTATGCTGTTGAACTCACAAAAGTCTTTTAAACAAATCAATGAATATTTCTCTTCCATAGCTTCACTGATGAGTAAAAAGACTCACATGAGGGACTATTTTTGTTCTTTTTTCCTTAGTTTCTGGTCTTTTCTCATCCTTTTTTGTTTTCTTTAAATTTTATACTCTGAGTAACTGATCATGAAATGGAACCCTGATGCAGGAACTGTCACCAGATTGTGTAAGTATGGTTGACATAAATGATAATGGGATATTGCTTTTCCTCTTTGTGTGGCTTTTCCATTAAAATTGCTTTATATAATTTTTCCTGTCTTTAAAATGATTTTTATATCCAGAGAATTACCAGAAATATGAACTATACTAGTCAGTAACTTCTATAGGTAAAAGTATAGTTTTGAGTAGTAAAAATTTACCTCTTTATTTGGTTTTTGCAGGAAATTCACAGTCAGGACACTCCCCTCAAGAAACATCAAGTTGTCTCCCAAACCCAGTCCCTCCCAGTAACAGACAAGGTGCCAGAAAACCAGATTCCGGCAAAAACTTCCAGTACAGAGCCTACAGGTCAGTGTTTCTTTCCTGCTTTGCTTAAAATGTAGCTCCAGGTGTATTTTGTTCTTTTTTGTTTCTGACATTGCAGTGTGGTTCTCCTGCAGTTCTCATTCCAGAGTGAGAAAATGTGTGCTCTAGATGAGGGTAATTGCAGCTCTTTTTGGAGAAACATTCTGTGATATCTATTTAGTTGCTCTTTAAGTCAGCTTTTCTGCAAGTGTTGCTGTGCAATGAATTCCTGAACTGCTGGGCAGTGATATATGTTCAAGGAAATCTGTTGTGCGTGGCTGGGAATGGTGATGAGACTGAAGTGACCCAAGCTCCCATCAGAAGGCTGTTGAAATAAATCATGCTGCGTCCATGTAATTAAATAATATGTAGCTGCCTGGAAGAAGGTAGCTTTGTGATGTGGTTTAACTTATTATAGACAATTTTATAACATCTGCATTTTATTTTTAATGTTTGAGGTAAAAACACATTACATCAAATTTACCGACTTAACTACTTTAAGTGCGTATTTCAGTACTGTTATGTATATTCATATTATTGTGAAATAGATCTTTAGAACATTTTCATGTTGCAAAACTGAAACTGTCCCTTAAAGAATGCTGCATTCCTTCTTCTGCCTCCTCCAGCCCTTGATGACCACCATTCTACTTCTGTTCTATGAATGTGACTACATTAGATCCCTCATTTAAGTGAAATCATACACAGTAAATCACCCCCTCACATTTATTGGTAGGTCATGTTCCAATACCCCCAGTGGGTTCCTGAAACCATGTACTATCTGTATGTTATAAACTGCACTCCATATAGACTCTTCTTATATCCCCAGTAGCATTACTTGGTGGTACCAGAGTTAATCTGTCCTTACATGTTCTGTGTCCTGGTGCCATCTTTGCATCACTGTCTTCCTTTGGGACCATTATTCGGTAAGGTTCCTTGCTTCCTCTTGCTGAAGCTCTGGTAGTGTTTGCAGCGTGATGCCCTAGACAAAGGAATGGTTCACATCCCTGGCCTGGAGCTAGAGGCCGTGAAAGGCCCACAACTTCACTGTGCTACTCAGAGTGCACTTTTTAACTTATTGTTTATTTGTGAGATTTTTTGTTTAATGTTTTTGGACTGCAGTTGTTTGTAACTGTAAGCAAGTAGCAGGGGAGACTGCTATAGTTTTTGTCTTTTTGTGACTGGCATGTTTCATATACGTAATGTCCTTAAGGCTCACCATGGTATAGCATGTGACAAGCTTGCCTTTCAAATCTGAATAACATTCCAGTGTGTGTGCTTGTGTTTTGCTTGTTTCTTTTATATTCGCCTGTTGTAGACAGGGCTGTTGTGAATATGTGTGTGCAAAGTCTTTGATATTGCAGATATTTTGGATAAAAACCTAGAAATGGGATTGGTGAATCACACGCTAGTTTCACTTTTAGTGTTTTGAGTATCAACCTTTTTGGTTTTTATATTGGGAGCTGAACTTAGGACTTTCACACTGAGCTACATTACCAGCCTTTTCTGATTTTTTTGTGGAGGCAGAGTCTTGTTAAGTTGCCCATGTGGGACTTGAACTTACGGTTTCCTGCCTCAGACACCCACAGTGCTGGGATTCCTGGCGCAGACCATTGTTCCTGGCTTAATGTGCTGCTTTCCGCAGTGGTTCACACCGCGTGACACTCTTACCAACAGTGCACAAGCAGTCAGATATTTCTGCGGCTCACCAGCAACTTTGTTATTTTGGCCTTCTTGTTTTGTTTTAGACAACAGCCATCTATCTCCGTGGTTATTATTTATATTTCTCCAAATATAGATGTTGAGCATCTTGTCAGCTGCCTTTTGGCTATTTGTTTTGGAGAAGTGTCTGTGTAAGTTCTTTGCCCATTTTTTAATCACTGGATTTTATTGTTGTGTTGTAGGAATTCCATGGATTCTAGACATTAACTTCTTCAGAGACATCTGATTTATAAATATTTTTCTTGTTCTATATGATGTTTTTTCACTGTGTTCATTGTGTCTTTTGATACTCCCAAATTTTTTTAAGTTTGATATAGTCGAGTTTGCTTTTGGTTTCTCATCCAATAGACTATCATAAAATCCAATGTCATGAAACTTTCCTGCTATATTTTCTTTGTAGTTTTTATAGTTTTGAGTTTTACTTTTAGGTTATTTTTTAGTTTGATTTGGTTTTTATGTATGGTAAGAGTCCAGCTTTATTGCTTTGCATGATGATATGCAGTTTTCCCAGCTATATTGTTGAAGATCCTGTCCTTTTACTTTCTTTCTTCTTCTTCTTCTTTTTTTTTTGTACTGGGGATCGAACTCACGACCTCATGCTTGTCAGGCAGGTGCTTGTGCTACTAAGCTAAATCTCCAGCTAGAGACTGCTATTTTTCCATTGAATCAGCTTCACACTCTTGTTAAAGATGATTTGACCATATATGTGATGGTTTATTTTTGGACTTTCTATTCTATTCCATTGATCTGTGTTTATCGTGTGTTTGTGTGTGCACGTGCATATATGTGCACATGGGTGCGTTTTTTTTTTTAATTTTATTTAAGGAGAAAAGAAAAAAAAGCAGAGAAAGGGTACAAGTTATACAGATTTGCAGAAAAAAAATGAACAGTAGGAAATCACTAGTTAATGGATTACATATTGTCATCTTAGAAATAATTGTTTAAGTCACAAAATTAAAGCTTGTAAAGTGAACATTCCATCAATGATACTGCAAACAGTTCTGTTCAATGATCCAATAAGACTCGGTGATATCATTTTCTATCTTATACACTTAAATATACATGCAGTTATATAGTATAGAGCACTTTCTTTTCCTCTCTTTTGTACAATGACTATTACACATTTTGGGTTTCATTGCTCCCATGGTTCTTATTACTTTTTTGGAAGAGAGTAAAACCAAATGTGATATAACAGAACAGAATCGGTCAAGTCAAAAGGGTGGACATAATAGATAATGTGAAAACATAATACAAGGTGATCAACAATGGTTACCATAATGCCTCCCGCTATCTCTAATAGAATTGCCTATATCATTAGTTACAATACAATTGAACAAAACAGTAAAGAATAAAACCGACAAAACCAAAACATTGGAGACATTGTAGGTCTTCAAAAATAGATAAAAGTCAACGAGAATGGGCGTTATAATGAATCTCATTATCTTCACAGCTGATGCCTAAATTTTCGAACCTGATACTATCCAGCAAAACAGAATAGGGGAACATCAGTTAAAAACCAGATGGTGAGAGTAATACAGGGCTTTAAACTGAGATAATAGAAAGTCAAAGTGGGTTACTATAATATATCCTGCTATTTTTTTTCCTTTAATTAAAAGGATAAAAATAAAAAAGTAAATAATGGAGTGGAGATTGAGATAAAAGAGGGCATAACAACGAAACAGCACAGATCAAAACATAACCATTTAAGCAGAATAGTGTTTCACCACCAGATAATACTGACCTAAAAGTAGTTACCATATTGTCTCTTTCCTTGAAATCCTTGAGTACAACTTCGTACTGTAGCATTAAGTATATCAAAACAATGTAAAACCATTTAAGAGAATGACAGCATTACAGAGTATTTAGAATCGACTAACAGAAAATGAACAATGGTTTCTGTATAATCTCCTTGTCTTTAAAAGGTTTTTGCTTATACTATCATACATAAGAAAATCCAGTAAGATACAACCTATTTGGACCATTGGAGACAGAAGGACAAAAGCTAGATGAGACTTCAAAACAAGATGATATTAAATCAGTATTACCTATTAAGATGTCATTTTCTCCAAAATAGCTGTTCCTATCATCCAATCTTCTCTGCCTCATTTCTGTTGAGCTCTTATTCTGTCAGTAGCTGTCAGTTTGTCTTCTTCACTTTGTTCTCTGCTCCATTCGTTGTGGCCTCCATTATTTCTGGATTCTTTGTATTTTTCTTTTTTTAGAATATCCTGCAATACTCTCTGTAGAGTTGAATTGGTGGTTGCAAATTCCCCCAGTTCCTCTTTATCCTGGAAGCACCTTGTTTTTCCATCAATTTCCAGGGACAGTTGTGCAGGATATCTCAATCTTGGCTGGAGATTATTATCTTTCAAAGCTTGAATTATTTCCCCCCACGCTCTTCGTGATTTGATGGTTTGTGCAGAGAAATCTGCTGTAATTCTGATGGGTGCTCCCTTGTAAGTGGTCTGTTTCTTGTCTCTGACAGCTTTTAATATTCTGTTCTTGTATTGAATTTCTGGAATTTTTATTATTATATGCCTGGGTGTTGCTCTGTTTGGGTTGTAGGTAGCTGGGGTCCTGTATGCCTCATACATCTGAGTATCTTTACCTTTTGCTAAATTAGGAAAATTCTCCTGGATTATTTCTGTGAGTAGCTTTTGTAGTTCATTTGTTTGTGTCCCTACTTCTTCTTTTATGTTCTTAATCCTTAAGTTATGGATCCTCTTATCATCTTCTTGTCTTTGTATTATTGCTGTTTGTTTCTTTGTTATTTTTAAGAAGTTTTTCATTTCATTCTCCCATATTACAATTCTGCCCTCCAGTTCAGATAGTCTGTCCTTAGTTTCTTTCAAGCTGTTATGCCAGTCTTCGATAGACTTCTTAGTTTCTTGGTAGTCCCTTTGAACCTGCTTCACGTATTCTATGCTTTCCCTGTTTTCTCCATCAAACAATTCTCCCCTTTTTTTCTGTTCTTCCATTCCACCATCTGTTTTTTCTTGGGTGGTGCTTAGCATTTCTCTAACTATTTTGCATACTTCTAGCTTCAGGTCGTTGATAACTTCATTCCTGAATTGGTCTATGAGGCTCTCTATATGGCGCTTAATGTCTATTGGTGCGGTGTCCGCTATTGCCTGTTTCTCAGAATTGGGGGCCGAGGAGCCTTTCTTGTTGCTGCCTCTTCCCATATTCTCTGTTCCTTATATATGCAAGCTTATATGAGAGGCCCAGCTTCTCTCCCTGTCAGCCACAGCCTGAATGAATTGCGCCGGTTAGGTGTTCCCACTCACCGCTGCACACCAGGCAGCCTACGTGGGGCCCGCCCCTCCCGGCCTCCCAGCCTCCGTCAGGCTCTGGGATCTGGGTTGGGCCAGCCTACGGGGTCCGCCGGCAGCGTCACGCAGGCCAGGCACTTTTCACCAATCCCGCCCGAGAGGGTAATGTGTGGCTGGAGTCGACACCGGGCCCAGAAAGTCCGCTGGAGTCAAACTGTGGTGGAGTGTCAGTTTCTCTCACTCACCTCGCCACAAGTCAGAACATGCCTCCCTGCCCGTCCTGTTTTCGACTCCGTTCGCAGACTCCCGTTCTCAGAGTTTCCGTGCGTCTCTCTCCTTGCTGAGCCGATGTAGAGGCAGCCAGCCACTGTGCGGCGGGAAACCCAAATCGCAGCTTCCAATGGCGTGGGGTCCAGCCTCAGCAGCGAGGCTTTTCTGTTCCTGTTTTAGCACCAGGACTGCATTCCAAGTTAGTTTCTCTCAGCCGAGTTCGTTCCTGAGTCAGCAGAGCATAACTCTACCTGCTTATGTCTCTTTAGTCCGCACCATTCCTGGCTTCTGAGCCTAGTTTTCAGAGAGCCTCCGGTAGTTGCTGTTATCTGTCCGCCATGTTCTCCCGGAAGTCCTCCATGGGTGCGTTTTTGAGACAAGTTTTCACTACGCAGTTCAGGGTGGCCTTGATCTCATTTTGTAGCTCGGGTTAGCCTTGAACTCACAGCATTCCTCCTGTGTCAGCCTCCTGAGTGCTGGGTTTACAGGCATGCACCACCATACCTGGCCCCTATGTTTGTTTTTATGCCAGTACCAAGCTATGGATTACTGCAGCTTTGTAAATAAAAAGTTTTAAAGTCAAGAAGAGTGAGTCTTCCAAGTGTTCTTTTTTAGAAGTGTTTTGGATATTCAGGGTCTATAAGTTCTATTTTGAATTTTAGGATGATTTTGCCTTTTTTTTTAAACTTCTGAATAAATTGCTATTGAGATTTTGATGGGGGTTGCAATGGTGTATCTGTAGATTATGTGGGTAATACAGCATTTTAGCAACATTAAGTTTTCTATCATGAACATCAGTGTCATTTGTATCTTGAATTTCTTTTAGCAAGTCTTTATAGTTTTCAAGATACAAGTGTTTCAACTCCTTGATTAAGTTTATTCCTGGGTATTTTATTCTTTTTGTAAATGGAAGCATTTTCAAAATTTCTTTTCGAGTTATTCATTGTTAATGTTATAGATTTGCAACTGATTTTCCCCCCACAGTGCTAGGTTTCAAATCCTGGCCCTTGTGCAGCTCAAGCTGGCCTCAAACTCACAGTGATTCTCCTGCCTTGGTTTCTCAAGTGCTAGGATTATAGCTGTCTACCAACATGCCCTGCCCACATGGCTCTTTTTAAAATTTTCTGTTTTTTTTTTTTTTTTTTTTTTTTTGAGACAGGGCCTTACTTTGTAGTTCAGGCCTTGAACTTACTGTGTAGCCCAGGCTGGCCTTGAACTTGTGATGATCCTTATGCCGCCTCCTGCACAGGCATGTGCCACTGTTCCGGCCTCCTTCTTAAAATTTTATTTTGGAATAGAGTCTAAGGTGCTCACACTGATCTTGAACTTGTAATCCTTCTGCTTCAACCTCCTGAACAGCTAGGATTATAGGCATGCACCACTGAATTTATCAATTGATTTTTTTGTATAGTGATTTTATGTAACAACTAAATTTATTACTACTGGTTTTTTTTGTAGAATTCTTAGGATTTTCAACATATTAGATCATGTAATCTGTTAACAGAGATAAATATTAATTCTCCATTTCTTTTTCTTCTCCATTTATAATATGGATACCCTTATTTATTTTTATTGGTTAATTGTTTTAGCTATGACTTTCAATGATATGTTGAATGGAAACAGGATAAGCAGGAATCTTTGTTTTGATCTTAGATGAAAGCTTTTAGTCTTTCACTATAGAATGATGTTAACTGAGGGATTTTCTCTATTATATTTGGGTTGTGTCTTTCTAGTCCTATTTTTAAAGCAATTTTATTGATACTTTTTTTAGAGTAAAAAACCAAATGCAGAGTATAATATAATATGATCACCCTCTGATAAAATATATGTATACCTAGGGAAAAACATGGAAAAACAATAACTTGATAATATTGCCGTCTCCCTTCTCTTTTGGTAGGAAAAGAGATAGAAATTTAAGAGTGGACAGGGGGTGTGACATGTGCCTGTCCTCCTAGTTGCTTGGGAGGCTGAGGCAGAGGAGCACTTGAGCCCAGGAGTTTGAGGCCAGCCTAGGGAATATAGCGAGACCCCATATTTAGAGAGAAAAGGAAAGAGACAGACAAAAAGAGAACACAAATGTTTTGGTGGTTTTCTGTACATTTCTAGGTTTGAATTTTTTAAACAATTGCATTTATACATATGTGATGCCTTAATTTTAAAAAATCGAGATATATATATATATATATATATATATATGAAATTTCTTAAAATTTTCTTTTTAGGTTTCACTGAATGCAACATGACAAAGTCTAGCCCTCTGAAAATAACATTGTTTTTAGAAGAGGATAAGTCCCTAAAAGTGACGTCAGACCCAAAAGTCGAACAGCAGCAGACTGGTTGGTTTTTATTCTCTATTTCTAATTACCTTTTGACACAAAATTAAGTTAGACCCTTAGCACCACACAAGACCACAAACAAGTGTCTTATGATTTAGTAAATCCTTTTTTTAGTAGTGCATTACACTTGTGCAAGGGCTGACATAGCCCATAACTAGGAAATGTTCTGCCCAGATGTGGTGCTGTGCACTGTTACAGGTGGGTCATGGCCCCTGTGACATCTGGCTAGGATTATCACTTGCATGGCCAGAGGACTTTTCCTACATCTGCTGTGGGCCCTGGCAGCCCTGTGTAGTTCAGGGTTCCTTCATGAACCCTGCCCTGTGGGACCTGGGCTCGCAGCAATGGAAAAAGAATCATTTGGAAGAACATGTTTTGAAAGTCAGAATGTTTTCACTGTTACGTTTCAATTCAAGTTCTTATTTACTACTCTGTTTTCAGTCCAAACCCCTGCTTTTGGTAGAGCCAGCCTATATTACTAAGAAAATGTGATTGGAACTTTGACAAGTATCTTGTTTCACGTATTAGTAGTAGTTTAGTCTAGGAGATGCGGTTTCTTTGTTTTTGGTTGACTGAGTAAGCACGTGATGTGAATCCTTCTCTGCTCGGGCCTGGACCCTTAAAGGTCTGAATCACAGTGCCCACCCCCTGAAATGTTTTCCAGGAGCAGTACATGAAATCGAGGTGAGTGTGGCTGGTGATGACGCCGACGATATCAACAGTTCCAAAGTGATAAATGACCTCTTCAGCGACGTCCTCCAAGGAGGTGACTTGGATGTGGAACAGAACCAGGAGGAGCTGGAGCAGGTGCTGATGGAGAGCGGCGAGGAGCAGGAGGATGCGCTGAACATCTCCTCCATGTCCTTACTTACGCCCTTGGCGCAGACAGTCGGTGTGGTAAGTCCAGAGGTAAGGAAATGTAGATGGACCTGTGACAAACTTGAACTGAGAGACGATGGGGCCCCCATTGATGGTTGGTGGTTGATGGGCGCTTAGCATCTTGTAGCCAGAGTGATTTTGGAAACCTAGGGATATTCCCTTAGGAGAGAGCTTGCAACTCTTCAGTGGGTGAAAGATAAAATCTAGGCTGTAACACGGCTTAAAAGGGCAGGCGTCCGGGCTCACATCCTGGCTTTGCTGTTGATCTTCCCTTGGTCCAGTTGCCTTGTCTGTTCACTGGAGTTGATAGCAGTGCCTTCATTGCATGGCTCTTGGGAGCACTGAGTGGTTGTGTTAGTATGCTGGTGTTTAGCGCCAGACATGCAGCGGACATGCAGACAGAGCTGAGTGCTGTCATTCGCTGTTACCCTGAATTGAACACCTTTCTCCCTGGAGATTGGTTCACTTACAGAGTTACCTGTATAAGTTTCAGCAGACTTCATACTTTTTATTTTTAAAAAGTATTTTATTCACCTTTTTATTTTTAATTTTTTTGAGACAGGGTCTTGCCGTGTAGTTCAGGTTGGGCTTGAACTCACTGCGTAGTCCAAGATAGCCTTGACTTCATGACGCTCCTCCTGCCTCAGCTTATACAGTGCTGGGATTGCAGGCCTGTGTCACCATGCCTGGCCTTAGTCATCTTTTTAAAGGAATTTATTTTTGTTTGCTTTGTTTCTATAATGACTCAATTGACTTACTGGATATTTATTTCCCAATAAAGGAGAAGAATTCATTTATTTTCTCAGGATGAAATGAGTTAACATTTCAAGTCACTGTTAATTATCCATACAATGTACTAATAGCTGACGTGCTTTCCTGCAGAATTTCATTTCCTCGCCTAAACTGGAATTGAAGGACCCTAGTGTAAGTGATGAGAGTCCCAAGCCAGGAAAATTCCAGAGAACCCGTGTCCCTCGAGCAGAGTCTGGGGATAGCATTGATTCTGAAGATCGAGATCTTCTTTATAGGTAAGGGCATTTGGGATGGCTGGATTGGGGTGCTGGTTTGGATTGACATAGGTGACGTTACAGTTTGTAGTTACAACTTTTGTCAGCCTCATTTACCAAATGGCATTCCCCTTCTGGTGCAATAGTCTGCTGTATGTTTGGCATTGGTGTGAAATTCTGCTGCATGTGTAATAAAGAACCGTGCTCTGTGTGTCACTGGATCTAAGTATAATTCTTTCCCCAAGCATTGATGCATACAGGTCTCAGAGAATCAAAGAAACAGAGCGTCCCTCAGTGAAGCAAGTGATTGTCCGGAAGGAAGATACTGCTTCAAAACTGGATGAGAAGAAAAATGCCTTTTCTTGTCAAGTTAACATCAAACAAAAAATGCAGGTGTGACTTCTGTGGAAAGGGGACTTGGTGTGTTTCTTATGCTAGCTTGGGAACTTTTTCAGGACAAGGCTCAGCCTTGCCTCTGTACCCTGAGTGACCATGGAAGTACTGACCCAGGGAGCTCACCAAGTCACTTTTTGAATTCAGTTTATTTTTAGAAGAAACTTAGAAGCTTATTTTATGTTGCTGAACATTTTTCTTGAGGGGATGTGATTTTGGGGATTCAGCCCTGAGGTTTTGGTGTAATAGTCCTGTGCTGTACTGCTGAGCTACACCTGCAGCCCCTGTCACACACCTGTTAAGTATAACTCTTTTTTTTTTTTTTGTCTTTTTCCTTTTTATCGGTACCGGGGATCGAACTCACGACTGCCTGCTTACAAGGCAGGCGCTTATGCCATTGAGCTAAATCCCCAGCCCCTTGAGTAATAATTCTTAATTAGATCACAGTGAAATGTGAAATTTTATGGTGCTGTTTTACTTTTTTTATGCTAAAAAAGCATTTTTAAAAACCCAAAATATTGTTATAATTTAAATAAGATGAATCACATACTTTCTAAATTTCTACCTTGTTAGATGTAGCCCCAGGTATAATTTTAGTAAGTATGAGTTAGAAATCATTTTACAGGGAAGGTTTATAGTTTATTATACGGTATTCATTGTTTTGGCATATAATCTAGAAACTTGAACATTGGAATTAACTTACTTTTCAGTACTGGAGATTGAATCCCAGGACCTTCACACCAAATTGCATCCCTGGCCCTTTTTCATTTTAAATTTTGGGACAGGGTCTCGCTAAAGTTGCTAAGTTGCCTAGGCTGGGCTCAAATTTGTGACCTTCCTACCTCAGCCTTCTAAAGAGCTGGGACTACAGAAGTGCACCACATGCCTGGTTGGAATTAATATTTTGACTACTTTGGGAAAGTTTGATATTCTCCAATCAGATGACTTAGAATTAAAGTTTAAATGATGTGAAAATGGTGCTTTAAAAATATCAAAAACAAAAATCAAAACAAAACAAATGCCGACTTTCCTTCCTCTTGTTGGTTTCATTAGGAGCTCAATAATGAAATAAATTTGCAGCAAACAGTGATTTATCAAGCTAGCCAGGCTCTTAACTGCTGTGTCGATGAAGAGCATGGCAAAGGCTCCCTGGAAGAAGCTGAAGCGGAGAGACTTCTGCTAATTGCAAGTATGTGAGAATAATTGCACCTGGAACTTTTCCAACAAAATTTCCAGTTTGGGAAAGTTCATTTCATGTGCTATGTTCAGAAATCTCTAATTTGTGGGAAAGGATTTTCTCCAATCATGTGCTTTGTTTCACCTAGTTTCTGTTTCTTGTACTTAGGAGGTTTGTGAAAAATAAGATGTAAAATGTGGTCTGCATCAAAGGTAAAGGCAATTGGAAGGCATCCGAAGACCCTAAATGGACATACACATGGACACACAGATACACAGACACAGACCTACACATACACCCAGACACCCAGACACACACACAACCTATCTCTCTTTCTCTCCCTATTGACCTAGGTTTAGCTGAAATAACTGATGTGGATTTTGGTGGTAGAGAGAGAGACACACAGACAGACAGGCAGACAGACATGCTTGGTAGAAAGATGATACTTCCCAGAAAGAGTAATTGAAAGCCAAAATATTAAATTATAAGGGCGTGCTAAATAGGCACAGTCTAGATTTTACCCAGTACCCTCCCACCCGATGCATAAAAATAGTAACTTTTGTCCTTGATTTTGCTATCATGTGGCATTATCAGTGTAATTTCTTACACTGGTTTTCATTTAGAAAAAGTTATCAGGCATGGGGTGCATGCTAGTAATCCCAGCATTCGGGAGGGTGAGGCAGGAGGATCGATGTGAGTTTGAGGCCAGCATGGACCACATAGTGAGTTCAAGGCCAGCCTGAACTACAGGGCAAGAGCCTGTCTTAAAAAACACACAACAATAACAAAAAGAAACAGTTACAGTTTAATTTATTTTTGTGTTGTTTAGGATGGAACCCAGGACCTCAAACATGTTAGAAAAGCCACTAAGCTATATCCACAGTTCACCATTTTAATTTTGATATTTAGATATTCGCTTTTGTGTTTTTACATAGCTGAGAAGAGAGCACTTTTGATTGAAGAGCTGAACAAACTGAAGAGTGAAGGGCCTCAAGGGAGGAACAAGGCTGGTCTGATAACCCAAAATGGATTTGTCCCATCCAGAGGGTCAGTTACTTTGTCTGAAATCCGCTTGCCTCTGAAAGCAGATTTTGTCTGTGGTACGGCTCAGAAATCTGGTACGGTGGTGTTTATTGCATTATTTCTAGACTCCATGTTTAGTTATGAACTTTCCCTAGATTGGATTTGTACAAGAAAATTACAAGAAGAGTTTCCATAAAGATAAAAACCTAGGCCAGACATCATTCTGAACATACAGCCTTCTCCTGAGACAAGTTATCCTGAGAGGATAGACCATTAATTTCACTATAGAAATGAACTGGTGCATTTAAAAGAACTCACTTTATGTGTTCTAAAATCCACCTTGGGACGAATAGAAATTCCTTCTACAAACTCTGAACCACTAGTTATGCGGATGATAAGCACCCAGTGAAGAGATTTCTGTTGAGATTTTACTCCTTTTCCCTTGCTGGATTGAATAATCATAGTGCATTTTTTTAAAAGCACATATCCCACTAAAATAATTTTAAAAAATTTTTATTAGATGTGTTTGCATACGTACCTTGTTTGTGGCAAATTGGTGCTCCCACATAATCACTTACTGACTTCCTGTTCCTCTCCCCACCCTCTTGTCTCCCCATTGGACCAGGGGGTAAGTGGGACCCTGACAGCAAAATCTGAAAACACAGCAGGGTACTCATTCTAGTAAGCTTAAGAAAATTATACTTGTATCAAGTATTGGAAATGTTTTTTTTAGGTTCTTTTAAGTTTTTATTTACATAGAACTTTCTCCTTGTGGGAAGGTCAGCTCTTGGTGCGAGTGGCTTTGAGGTGCAGGGAAGGTGAAGAACAGCATTTTATTGTAGGAATGAACTGATTTAGGTTGTAGTTATTGCTGTTCTCTCATTTTGCTGAAGTGTGAGCAGAAAATGTGCCTTGAGATGCACAGTTATTTAGTGACTAGTAGTGAAGGAATAGTTCATGATTTTATTAGAATTTACCTTTGCATAACTTTCATGGTGTTTTAATTTCAATTTTGAAAAACTGAATCTTAATTTACCTTGTTGAAGTATGTATTAGGTATATTAAGTTAAATTCAAAGGCAATAGAAGTTGAGAAATTAAGGGGAGACTTTGATGTTTATTTGAGATTATAGCTGTCAGTGTATCTGATTTAGCCTTTTGTTTCTGGAAACTCGATTTTAGTAACTAGAATTTTATTTATAAACACTGCAGTATGACATTCTTCCTTTGGTTCAGAACATTGATCAGTTAAATCTGATTTTGCTTGTGCTAATTACGTAATTGATCATTTCTTGCAGATGCAGCCAATTACTATTACTTAATTATGCTCAAAGCAGGAGCTGAAAATATGGTAGCCACACCATTGACCAGCACTGCAAACTCTCTTGCTGGTGATGCGCTGACATTCAGTACTACATTTACTCTGTGAGTAATTAGACTTCTGGTGGCTCAGACACTGTCCTCATTTAAACAGTTAACACAGTCTGAAGACACAGGTGACATTTATCTATATGTCATGGTGCTGGAGATCAAATCCATAATCTGATCAGATCCTTGTACATGCTAAGCATGTGCTTTCCCCCTCGGCCCTTTATATTTTTGTTTTAGTTTTGAGACAGGATCTTACTGTGTGGTCCAGACGGCCTTGGACTCACTCTGTAGCCCAGGCTGGCCTTCACCTTGCAGCAGTCTTCTGGGAACTATGTGTTCTTTTTCTTTTTAATGGGTAAATAACTCAGTTTTCAAGTTTTTTAATTTAGCTTTTATTTTTTTTTTTTATGTTTTCCATTTTTAGCAGCGTAATTCTTCCAAGTGACTATAGATATTTAAATATTTTAAAGTATTATATTAAATGTGGACCATACTTTTTATATGCTTTAAATCTCATAACATACTTAATAATCAGTTTTTTTGGGGGGCGGAGGTACTGGGGATCAAATTCATGACCATGCGCTTACGAGGCAGGCTCTTACGCTGAGCTAAATCTCTGGCCCCAGTAATCAGTCTTAATAAAAGATATTTATGTTTAGTATTACAGATATATTTTGGAACTACATAGTACAAACCAGTTTGAAAAAAATGTTACTTTTTAAAGCTCTTGTATTATAAAAGACTGAAGAAAATATTTCTGACTTTTTAATAGACTGTTCTTACCAGTTTTTATTGCTTTTTAGATAAAAACATAATGTATTTCTTTACTCTCAGAATCTTGTAACAGTGTTTATAGCATTTTAAAGGCATAACTTGAAATTCTTCTTAACATTTCATTTAATGTCTTTTTTTTTTTTCCCAGACAAGATGTGTCTAACGACTTTGAAATAAATCTTGAAGTTTACAGCTTGGTAAGCATTTATAGTTTCCTAAAATAATCAGCAGTATATTTTCCTTAATAATATCAGATTTTAAGCTGACTATAAATTTGGGTTTGTGTGTAGGTACAAAAGAAAGATTCTTCAGGCCCTGATAAGAAGAAAAAAGCATCTAAGTCCAAGGTGAGAATTACAGAAATCTAATAAAGATATTATAATAAAAAATAATAGCTATCATGCTAGTTTTAATCATTATACAACTTTTAATGATTCTAAAGTCTTCAGGTCAGTTTTAGGTGCTGGATTTCTACTTACTGCATTAAATAATAGTGAATACTTACAGTGAAATTATAGTGGGTGATGGTGATCCTAACTATAAGCTTTTGATGCTCTAGATGGAAAGTTCTGTTCTGTCTGCATTAACTGACAACTTTTCATAACTGCTTAAAACCTGCTGTCCTCTGTCCTCATCTCCCTAGGTCCTCTGCACCAACACCTCACTGTGTAATCACTTGTGTAGAGGAAGCTTTAGAACCTCTGCTTTCTAGTCATTGTTATTTTGCTAAGTCATCATCAAAGTATTTTTTTATTCCAAATTCATTTATCTCAGAACTAAAAGAAAAATGAAAAAAAAAATTTTTTTCCTTTGGCTTTAACCAAAAAGGAATAGCTTTATAGGAAAGCCTTTATAAGAGACTCAAGTCATCTATTTTTTATATGAGACTATCTCGAGTTAATTGTGAACTCTGAATTACAGCATTTAATTGGAAATATACTAATTTTTTTCTTCTAGACTATTACTCCAAAGAGACTTCTCACATCTATAACCCCAGTAAGTAAAAGTTTTAGGAAATTAAGCTTTCTTGAGAATTTTTATCTTCTACATGTGATTGTAAATTGGGTAACGAATTCTAAACCAATTGTAAGTTATGTTGATCTTTAAAATATAGTAATGGGGGAAATTATCCTTGACATTTATGTAGGAAAAATGTTTTCTGAAATGTAGTCGTTGTCCTTTTAGAGTTTTGTGCTTGATATTTGCATCTTCATATCAAAAGAAGTGACTAATAAGTAACTAATGTTTCTTCTTCATATTTTTTTGTTTATTTTTTTAGAAAAGCAGCCTTCATTCTTCAGGTAAGTGGATCTTGAACTACTTAAAGGTTTAGACTAAGGAAAAGAATTGATCAATTGTGTCAGTTGAGAATGCTATCAATTATATGTAAGCACCTTGATTTTGAGTATTTACCCTGATCTACTTTAGGATGATACTTCCTACGTGTGTTTTTTAAGTCACATATAGGTTACAGGCTAGAGTAGCTTGCACAATAGCATGTTGGACCTTTGTCAGGCACCAGTGGAGGCCACCAGCCTTCATAGGATTCAGACTGTGGCAGTCAAGTCACGTGTGGTACTGAGTTGCTGGGCAGCGCCAGCAGGGAGCTGTGCTCCTCGTCACGCTTCTGTTCTATGGATTGTTCTGTGCTGTCCACACTGTGGAGTTTACTTCTCTCCATTGTACTCATCAATTGCTGTGTCGCCATTAGAGCTCTTTCCAGTTTGCCAGTCACTGGGGTGCTGTGAGCCCAGAAAGGCCTTCTCACCAGGGCTTTAGGCCTAAGTTTTCTAAAAGGGATCAGGATGGAGCTGGTTTCTCTCACATCCTTTAGGCTGTTGGTTTTTCCTCTGTGGCACAGTGAGATACTGGGAGACCTGTGCAGGTTAGTTGGCCACTGCTCATTATGTCACCCTGGTCTATAATAGTGACTGACAAAGGCTATTGTTTCTTATGAGAAAATTACTTTTTAAGTACTTTTAGATCTGAGTCTTTCGACACATCCTTTCCAAGTATTAAGGAGCACTTAGACTCCTTTAAAGACAGAATTCTGTGTAATTTTCTTTTGTTAGGAAATGTGATATTCTATTTTCTTCCATAGTTAAAAACAGGAAAATGAGGCAGTTCTCCCCGGGGCAGCTTAATTTCATCCTGTTGGTGTGTGGTGAGGACCTGCTGTTCGTTCTTGCGAAAGTCACTGAGCTAAAGGCCTTTGGTTCTTTCTTTACAGTTATGGCCAGTCCAGGAGGCCTCCACGCCGTGCGGACCAGCAACTTTGCCCTCGTTGGGTCTTACACACTGTCATTATCCTCTGTGGGAAGCACTAAGTTTGCTCTTGACAAGGTATTTGCTCCCAACTTTATGTTGTGTTATTTCTTGTAATTTTAGAACATTAGGTTAATGAAAATACTGAAATTCCTTCAAGTATTTGAAGTGTTTAGCTGTAACTAAATGGTTCTAGAATTGCACATTTTAACTAGATTCAAGTATACCTAAATGGCTTATTTTTTTGATGTTGGAAGTATTTCTCTCTTATGTCTTAAAAACTGTAGTTAGATCTTCAAAGTAATGTATTCTGGTTTATGCTGTCACTTTTTACTAAAGAAGTATTGTTTCTTAAATTTTGATGTTAAATTTGTAGGTTTTTTTTTTTTTTTTTTTTTCTGTTTGAATCAGGGTCTCGATATATGGTTCAGGCTGGTCTTGAATTCACTATATAGCCTAGGCTGGCCTTGAACGTGTGGCAATCCTCCTGCCTCAGCCTCCTAAGTGCTGGGATTAAAGGCGTGCACCACCATGCCCCACTAAATTTGTAGTTTTAAAACCTAACAATTTCCCTATTTGAACCTCTTAACATATTTTGAAATGAGTAATACATTATGGTTTTAGTTTTGACAAGATGGGAAAAATAGATTAGCCTCTTAGGAAAAAGTACTTTTGAATCTAAGGAATTTCTTTTCTTCACTTCCCTTCCAAATTAAAAGTGTCAGAACTCAAATCTGTATTGTCACTGTCTGTCATTTTTTTCACCATAATGTGACGTAGTTAAACTTTTAAGTAACTAACAAGACCCTTTTTAAAAATTAGTCCACGTTTGCAGTACCTAATTCTTAGGCTCCTTGTGTGGAGTCGGTCTGCGCATGTAACACAACTTAATCCCTTTTTCATCCCTTTCCTCCTCTCTCTCCCCTTCCCATGTGAGAAAGATCTGTCTTCCTCCTTCCTATTATCTGTTTTATTTTGCTCTTAAGACCATTTTAAAAAGTAAGTGAACTAAAGACAAACTTTTTTCTTGGACTGATTTTTTGCTATATAATACAATGATTTATAAGAAATACTAATTTCAAAATTTTTGAGCGATACAATAATTATGCATACTTATGGAGTCAACCATGATATTTTAGCACTTGTATACAGGTCTAATTGATCAAATCACGGTAATTAGCGTTTCCGTTCATCACCTTCCCCACCTCTAGAGGGCGTTGAACCTCAGGCCTCTTGAATTTGCTAGCAAGTACTCTACCACTGAACCCCAGCCATTTTTAAATTTTATTTGGAGACAGAGTTTTGTTAAGCTGCCCAGGTTGGCTTTGAAACCCTGCCTAAGCCTCCGAAGCAGCTGGGATTGTGGGTGTGCATCATAGTGTCTAGCTTCCTTATCTCTTCATGTTTCATCCTTTGAGCTCCTGGCTTCTGGTTCTTTATAAAATACAGTGTACAACAGGTTTTTATGAACTGTAGTCACCCAGCTGCTGAGGGACACTAGCATGTATTCCTTTTGTCTTGTTCCCTGTTAGGCAGTCCCCATCTCTTTTCTCCTAACTCTTCTCAGCCTCTAGTAATCACGATTTTATGTGCAGATTGACTATTTAGCAGCTACCTATGAGATGAGAGAGAACAGGCAATACTTGGCTTTTGATACTTTATATTATTAGAAGAGATATCTGTAGTTAGAATGTAGAGGTGAAAATGTATACAAATTAAAAGGCCTGGTCTCTAGTATGTGTTCTGCTCATAGTGTACTATTTATTATGGAATCAGTCACTTTATTTCTCAGGGATTTTGCTTCCCCAGTATAGAATCTTAGCTCAGCGAGAAGCAACTTATCTTTAACATTTTATGAAATGTCAATGGACAAAAAGCAGGCTATATTTGAAATTTTGACTGTTGTTAAACCATAAATATATTTTAATATGTTCATTTCTAAAAATTTACATGACTTTTTAATAATCCAGCTAACTTAACAGAAATGAGTGATTGTGGATCTCTTTTTTCTCTCTTTGTCTTTTTTGTTTGTTTTAGATAAATTATGATGTAAAAGAGCAAGAGCTACTGAGCTATTTGTTCCAGGAAAAGGTTGCCAAATTTTCTTTGCTTGAAACTAATGTTCTTTAAAATCAATCTTAATATTTAGTCCACGTGTCTTTCTTTCACTAACTACTTTTCTATCTTTTGGGTTATTTTGAATAATTAAGGACATTATTTACGTATTCTTTCTTTTGATTCCTACAGAGGGACATCTTTTCTTCTTTAAAGCTTTCTTTGAAAATTCTTTCTTGTTTTAAGGCATGTTTGGGATTCGGCTTTTTTCTCTGTGTAGTCTTCTGTTTTATACTTCTTTAAATTTTTATAGTCAATTCAATAATTGATTTTTTCCAAGTATCAATTATAATACCAAATTAGTAATTATGTTTAAAATTATTCAGTATTTTTAACTTTTTAATCCACTGAAAGAGTTATTGGTGATGTTTTAAATAAAGGTAGAAAGCTTTTATAGTACTGATTGGCTAGTTGGGATATTGGTAAATGTATTTAACACTAAAATTATAATGAGTATAAATATTTTAGAAGACTTAAAATATTTAGTATCTTGTAAAGATCAGTTACAAACATTCTGTGGTAATATAAAAATGCTAATGAACAAAATACTGGATAATGTTTTATTTTAAATTCTTACAAGATTTGATATTTGCAAATTAGATAAACATAAAAACTGGGCTTCTGTGACTTGTATTCCTTAATCACCATTGTCACTGGTCCAGTTTCAACCTATGGAAGAGATCTCCTTAATCTCTAAAGTGAGACTTAAATGACATATCTTGCATATGAACCATTCCTAATTTCATTTGAAATGTAACACTTAAAAATTAACATTATTATTTTCGAGTATCTTAATACTGCCTTTGAAATTATAATGTAAATTTCTGACTATCATCTTGAGGAAAAATCAAAGCATTGAATTTAGTTGATTGTCTTTTAAGTTTCCTTCTGAGTAAATACAATTTTGATATGAAATTTGTACCAAATGTGATTTTGTGAGACAAGCTAGCTATTATTCCAGTAGCCTGCAGCTGATGGAGAGTATTTGTGATAGTTAAGTTTAGATGTTCTTTCAGCTGCCTTCGATACCATATGATATTCCTGTTTAATAGACTTTGAGAGAGCAGACAGGTCTGATGGTTCCTACCAGATATTATCAATATAAGGGAGTATTTATTTGTTTCCTTTTGTTGTGTTTTTGCCTCATGTCTTGACAAATAATATAGCAGCCCACGGGTTACAGAGTTAGCTTGAGATCTCCTCCAGAATGGGATTTTTGTGGAGGTTAACCCAGTCTGCTTGCTCTGCAGAGTTAAGGTGTCACAAACAGTGCATTGCCACCTCATCTGAGTTTACAAATCATCAGATTTAATCTGATTTTAAGCCTTGCATCAAAGAGTTTAAAGGATGAATCTCAATGAGTCACACTCTCAGACCCTTTCAAATAGAGAATCCAAAACAAGATTTATAGATAAAGGAAGAAGCACATCCCAAAGCTCATCTTCTGACTTAGAGGACCACTTAGAAGTCTATACTTTTTGGGGAGTAGAAATCAATGTAAAAATGATTAGAACAAAAGTTACAAGTAAAGCAACTGGAGTTACAGAATTTTTTGTGTTAGAGGTGGAGTGATTAGGTATCCCGGCGTGTCTAAGCCATCCAGTGTATGCCTGTTGACATGTGTAATTATTAATAGCACTCTTTCACCCGAGCACATGCCAGTCTGTAACTACACCACTCATAATTAACTATATTTAGCATCTCCTAGTAATAACCATTGAAGTGTGGATGTCTTAAAACAGTCCTTTGTTAAACAGCTTTGGATCGCAGAGTTTTCACACAAGTCTCCATGCACAGCAGGGATCAGCAGGCTTAACCTTCTTGAGAACATGCTTGACTCCCTTCTCTGTTAGCACCAGCTTCCAACCAAGAATACCACCTGCATCCTCAGCCATGAAGGCAGGGGGGCATTTCCTCATCTTTCTGAGATTCTGGCAGCTGCAGCCTCTGGACTAATACGTGTAGTTCTGTTAATAAGCACAGGGAGAAATGGGCTTGAGGAACTTTAAATAGACCAAATGGAAAAGAAAAAGGCAAAAGAATCGTTAAGGAAAGAGTATGATTTTTTTTTTTTTTTTTTTTTATCAGTACCGGGGATCGAACTCACAACCGCCTGCTTGCAAGGCAGGTGCTTATGCCGCTGAGCTAAATCCCCAGCCCCAAATATGATGTTTTGATTCTACAGAAGTTACAAGTTCATCTTAAGGATTTAGTCTATTGAAATCTATGTATTTATTTGGCCTAGAATTTCCCTTTAGTTATCTTTAATGCTTTAAGGGATCAAATTTTTGGAAAGTAACCTTACAGTAAAAACGTTCAAAGTTATTGAACTAAGATTATTCCTCTATGGATTGATTCCTCCCTCCCTCCCTTCTTCCCTTCCTTTTTACCCCCTTGGTGGCCCTGAGGATCCAAAACAGGGATATTCCAAGACTGAAGGGTACCACAGCCTCTGTTTCTGTTGTTTGTTTGAGACAGGGTCTTGTTATGTAGCTCAGGCTGACCTCAACATATAGTAATCCTCCTGGCTCAGCCTCCCTAGTGCTGGGATCCTAGTGCTCCTAGGTAGGGATTTCATTCTTTCTCATGAGGTGGTAGGAAAGACAGATGATGGTAGCGTCTTCCTTTCTCTCTTGACTGCGAACTGAGTATATTCTCACTAGGTATAGATTACTAGGCTACCAGGTTTTACCCTTTTAAAGATGTTAATCTCTTTTTTTAAAAAAATTTTTTATTTTTTGGTCTTTTTGAGACATGGTCTCGCAGATGTTAATCTCTTTTTTTAAAAATTTTTTTATTTTTTGGTCTTTTTGAGACATAGTCTCGCTATGCAGTTCAGGCTGGCCTTGAGCTCACATTGTAGTCCAGGCTGATCTCGAACTCGCAATGATCCTCCTGCCTCACCCTCCTGCCTCAGCCTCTTGAGTTCTGGGATTACAGGTGTGAGCCACCACGCCCGGCTAAGATGCTCATCTCTTGATTTCCAGCTGCAGTTTCTGTTAAGCCAACCATGATTCTTCACTTTCCTAGTTTCAAGATTTTTTTTTTTTTTTGCTTGTGATCTTAACAGTTTTATTCTAATGTGCCTAAGTATAATTTTCTGTATATTTAACCTGCCAAGTTTCACTGAGCTTTTCTGTGTCTGGTACCCCGGTTCATGAACTTAATTTGTTTCACAATTCTGGAGAAGATGGCCACAGTTGTGTTTATCACCTGATATGGAGTTCGCAGATGAAAGCAAAATTTTGCCAAGTGCCTCTGTTTGCAAACCGAACAGAAACATTTGTGAACTGAGGAATTACTGTTTATCTTCCAGTATTCTGTTCAGTTCTCCTTTCCTTAACTCTAGTTAAGTACGTGTTAGACTTTTGATCATTTTCTTATATGTGTGTGGCACATTTTTGTTTTCATTAATTTTTTTCTTTGTGCTTCATTTTGAATTGTTTTCAGAGCCATCTTTTCCTGACATTACCCTGTCTCTGAAAGCACCATCCAATAAATTCCTTAACCCAGACTTTTTTTAGTTCTGAAATTTCCATTTGGATCTTTCTTATTATTTTAACTTTTTTGCTAAAATTCTATCTTATTGCCCATTTTTGCCAGTCTTTCCCCTCTGAATTCTTTAAAATAGTGTAAATATCCTTGTGTTTTAATTTCAATAGTCAGCTAATCTGTGATCTGTCAGTGTGGTTTTCCCCCGTGTTTGCTTCCATAGCTTTTTGATGTGTTCAAGGACAGCAGAGTTTTAAAGTGAAGTTGGTCCTTTAGTGTTGTTACAGTAGAAATGGTCTTTTGTGTACCTCACATTGTGTTTGGGACTGGAACTCTGAGCATCTCAGTAGAATTCCTTTGTGTGTCTCCCAACTGTAACACACAGTGGAATAAATTGAGAGGCCAGAATAGGGCAGTTTTGTGTGTGTGTGTATCCAAAGCTGGCAAGTTAGCTGATGCCGAAAGTGAAAATCATCTCAGTCTCGGCAGCTGGCCTGCATTTAGGCCAGTCCAGACCTTCATATTGAACTCAGTCCTTCAGGTAGATTTCAACATTGGCCTTCATAGCTCGGCTAAAGCTAGTGTCCTCGTTCCTTCTCTGGCTGTATTGTGGATTGTAGATAAGAGTTCTTTTTTTTTTCTGGTTCAATGACTGATTGGGAGCTATAGCTGCTACTGTGCAGCATCTGGAAAAAAATATTAAAAGAATCTTTTTTGTCTTTTTCGTTTTTATAGGTACCAGGGATCGAACTCACAACTGCCTGCTTGCAAGGCAGGCGCTTATGCTGCTGAACTAAATAAATCCCCAGCCCCTAAGAGAATCTTTATGCCATATATTGCTAACCCACAAAAAGATCAGAATTCAAAAATTCAAAATTCAAAAGTTGTTTCTGCTGAATGCATTTTGCTTTTCTTTTCTTTTTTTTTTTTTTTTTTGGTGTCTTTTTGAGACACCTCAGGCTGGTCTCCAACTCATAATAATTCTCCTGTCTCAGCCTCCCAAGTGTTTGGATTGTAGGCTTGCTTTTGCATTTTTTTGTTAAAGTGAAAAAATTGTAAGCCAAATCATTGTAAGTTGCTAGGAAGATGTTCTGCCAGGTTTAGGTTCCTTTTCTTGAAGAAACTTGGGCTGGGTTGTAGCTCTGTGGTAGTATGCTTGCCTCAAAAGTGCAGAGTCCTGGGTGATCCCCAGCACTGAACACACATGTGTACACACACACACACACACACACACACACACAGATATACACAGAGATCCAAAATTTGCTTCTATTGCAGTGCAATTGGTCTAAGCACCGGTGTCAAAAATCAGTTGGCCATAGAAACACACTTTGCTTTCTGGGCTGTCGGCTTCATTCCATTTGTTTGTGTGTTTGTCTTTATATCAATGCCATGTCTTTTGAATGCTTGCTCTTGGAATTAGCTTTTGCAATTGGGACAATTGCCTGCCAACTGTTTCCTGCTTTAAGATTTTGTTACCTGGGACTTCTTCCAGTTACATGTGAATCCGAGGATTGTCTTTCCCATTTCTGCAGCTCACTGTTCTTTACAGCTGTGTAATAGGTATTGTGTGAATTTGAGTGGTTGATTTATTAAGGCTCTCTTGATTTATTTTCCTGTTGATGGAAAATGGATACATGCTTGTGCTGTTTTAAAATCTGTTTTCTTTCTCACATTAATTGGGGATTTAGACATTTGTTTTTGTCAAGTTCTACCTTGAATGACTTTATTCTTCAAAAGCATTTATTGCTAAGCGGGCTTTTTGGCCACTTTGCTACAGTCCACATTTAGAAAATGATGTATTTTCTAGGCATTATGTTTATTGTTCGTGATTTATACATGTTTTATGAAGAAAAATCACCACATTCAAACAGTTTTGCAAATAATTTATCCTCTTTATTCCCAGGTGCCCTTTTTGTCTTCTTTGGAAGGTCATATTTGTTTAAAAATAAACTGTCAAGTGAATTCAAGCATTGAAGAAAAAGGATTTCTAGTAAGTAACATCACTTAATCTTTATCTCCTTTCTTCCATTTTAGGAAATGCAGCCTTGGTGTCCCATGGGGAGGAGCCTGTGATAAAGTGTAAATTGGCTCAGTAAAGACTCCTTGCCTCCTTCTGTATGGCATTTGTCATACTGGTGTCACATCCTGGGGACAAGCGTGGCTGTCCACACCTGCTGGGGGCAAGCTCTGGGGTTCATGAACTGCATGCCAGTAAAGGAATAAAGGCACAAAGTTTAAGGACAGGAAGACATTTTATTGGACATTTTTTGGAAAGGGGGAAAAAGGAGGAGAGATGGCTGCCCTGTTAAATCAGAGTAGAGGGCTCTAGAAAAATGGGGGACCTGAGGGCCCTGTTTTCCTTGGATGCTAAGGTTCTTCCCACTGCTTGGAATTTGTCATAACCTGATTGGTTTCCTGGAATGTCATAGATGGATTCAGGACCCCAAGACCCCTAACCTCCTGTGTCATCCTCTACGTACGCATTCTTTTTTTTTTTTTTTGTCTTTTTCCTTTTTATTGGTACCGGGGATCAAACTCACGACTGCCTGCTTACAAGGCAGGCGCTTATGCCGCTGAGCTAAACCTCCAGCCCCTATGTACGCATTCTTAAGTGGTCTTTATTCGATTTCCATTGTCCTGTCAGACTCTATCCCTAGAATTTATGGGTTGGTTAAAAGGGACCTTACTTACAATGTGGAGTTAGCAACTAACTAAAGGGAAACATGATGAGAGAGTACAGACCATGATACCTTGGTTTACGAATTCGATTTGTTCCATGTTTCTGAAAAAGATAGTTGTGATCATGCCCAATGCAAAGTTTGCAAAGAAAAACAAAATTTTGCCAAATGCTTCTGTCTGTGAACTAAATTGTTGGCTAACAAAAACGTTGGTGAACCCAGGTACCATACTGTACACTAAATAAAGAGCCGTCTTAAGTGGCCACCCCTTGTCTCCTTTGTAAGGTAGGGAAGGGTGGCTCAGCCAACTGGGTTAGGGTGTGGCTTTCTCTTTTCTTGTTACTTGTTCCCTCAGTAAAGTTTTAACTCTTTCTTATCAGGATTGGCCACAAAGCCCACCAAGGTCTTCCCAGTTTTATGGACGCCTTTCCCCTACACTTATACTCAAATAGGATAGGTCACAAAAAATAATCCTCCACTGAGAAGAGTTTTTAGTCTCATAGGAGGAAGCACCAGCAAAGCAGTGAGCACAGCGCAGTACCCACAGCAGGCAAGAGTGTGGGATGTGCAGGCCTGGATGCAAAACCGCCCCGACTGTGCTGGGAGGCCGAAGGGAGCAGGGAGCAGAGAGCGGGAGGAACTCAAGGAGCCTATAACTGGAGCCCCTGGGGAGAGAAGGGCTCCGAGAAAGAGGGCAGCGAGAAAGGGGGCAGCGTGGAAGGGTTCCTTCCTGCTCCACCCAGAAACAGGAAGTGGGAAGAGAAAGGTGACCCACTGGGACAGTGGCAGGTGTCTCAGACAGCTGCAGTTGGGCGTCTGAGCCTGTGCATGTGTGAAGGTGAGGAGGGTACCTGAGGAGGAATCTGGCAGGTACACCAGTCTGCAGTTGTTGTCAAAGTTAAGAAAGAAGGGACCGGGGATTTAGCTCAGTGGCATAAGCACCTGTCTTGCAAGCGCAAGGTCGTGAGTTCAATCCCTGGTACCAGAAAAAAAAAAGTTAAGAAAGAAGGGCTGGACTGTAGGAGACGCCCACCTGGCCCAGGTAACAAAGACTTCTGACAGATGCCAGGAACACAGTGGTTCCTTCTTAGCTTTTTCACGTGTAAATCCAGCAGGTGGCACTAAATATTCTTGGGAAAGCTTTTTTTTGGTTTTAAATTCCTGACTTGAAAGCTGTGTTTACCTTCTGACATATATTTCATTGTAGATCCCTTCAGCAGCTGGCGGGCCCTGTTGTAGTAGCCAGTTTATTTGCGTGCATTGCCTGACCTGTTTAGTTTTTGAGCTGTTCTGTCTTTAGATGCAGTCAGATTTATTCTATCTTGAATCCTACAGCTCATTTCTATTACATCCATCGAGAAACATAGAGAGGAAGAGCTCAGGACTCCCTCACGTATCCTCTGTCCCTTGCCTGTGCAGTGCGTTTGCAGGACCCCAGCTCTCTGCAATGGAAAGGAAAACTCTGTCCCTTCCTGTGGAGCCAGGGCTGCGGGCAGGAGGAAGCCTGGCCCTGAGAGACTGGTACCTGTTCTACACCCATCCCAAGTCAGCTCAGCTTGGACTGGTGAACGGCAGAGCAAGGGTGTTCTTCCTGTGACCCTTGTCACTTTATGTCCCTGGCCCTCGGTTTCCTTTGCTATAAGGATGAAAAGGCTTCCCTTTCCTTCCTCTCTGTGTGCATGGGAGGACGTGACAGTAACTGTTGTTACTCTCAGTGTCTTTATCTGCTCATTGCCTGTGTGATGTGAAAGGTGCAGGTAGACACAGGAGGGAGCTGGTGAGCCGTCTGCACTAACTTTTGTGCCTGAGACTCATATAAGATGCTGGTCCCCCTTCCTGGCTCTAAGTGATGCTGCCCAGAAGAGCACACCCTGGGGGGGTGGGGGTGACATGAGTCAGGGGAGCGGAGAAGGCAGGGCAGGGGTGGCTCTGCCGGGAGCAGGCTGATTAATTCAGCTAATAGGCCCAAGGCTCAGCCTAGCATGGAATCCCCTCCTGTCATACCTGGAGCTTTCCTCCCTGGCCAGGATTGCTTTCCTCACTCAAACTGCCGGTGGGAGCTTCCTATAAATCAGGGAATTGACAAGAGTGTATATTGTACTATCCCAAGATTGGAGTGAAGGTTAGTTGAGATAATTTAAACACTGTATTTGTAGGAGTGCGTCTCACAGAAAGCACCGAATAATGTTACTTTTTTAATTAGGTACCCAGCTGTCAGAAAGGCGGCATTGTAATTGAAAGGCTGAAAGGCCTTGATGTATTGTGAAATGGAGCACAGAGATGCCTCGGGATGGTCTGCAGTGCAGGCAGCGCAGGAGGGCCCCTGCAGCCGGGGTGCAGCCGCTGACTTCTGTCCGTGGCTGTGCAGGGCCCAGCAGGAGAGCTGCATATCAGGCACTCTGGGCATTGATACCTCGAGTCCTCTCCACCCAATGAGGAGAAGGGGCGCCCACCCTTGAGCCACAACATCGTTAACAGTTTTTTCCCTTGCTTTGTTCACTAATCTAAAAGCTTGCAAAGAAAAATAATTTTATTTTATGTTTTTTATCTTCCCGGTTAGGAAAGAAAAATAATTTTAATTAAAAGTAGTGATTTTATATAAATTAGGGCTCTGTTGTGATTACAGCTACATAACAGCAGAGATAGTGGGGGAAAAAAGAAGACAGCTTCTACTTTTTTTTTTTTCTTTCTGTCTTTTTCATTTTTACCGGTACTGGGGATCGAACTCACGACTGCCTGCTTGCAAGGCAGGCACTTATGCCGCTGAGCTAAATCCCTAGCCCCGACAGCTTCTACTTACACTGCTGCTTACGTAGAATTATTTCCTTGGAAGAAAGCACAGCTGTGAGGAGTCTCACTGTCTGCAGGCCCTTGTGTGGCCGCAGCGCCCTCTGCCCCACTGTGGAATCTCCCTTGTGTTTCTGAAGTGAGGTTGGTCCAGTGCCCAACTGCAGGGTGATGCTGCTTCCTGTGGTGCTGGCCCAGCAGCATACCTGCACTTCTGAGGGTTATCACAGGGACCCAGCAGGGCCATCCATCATGAGTTGTCTCTTAGAAAACTATTCTCTTGAATAAAAATGAAATGCCAGTCTCACATAGGAAGACAGTTCTCACTTGATATTCTGTTATTAGTGTTATAAAATATTAGGTATTGCTGGGCGAGGTGGCACATACCTGGTATCCCAGCACCCGGGAGGCTGAGGCAGGAGGGTCTTTGAGGCCAGCCTGGCTACGTAGTGAGCTCAAGGCCAGCCTCAACTACCTAGTGAGACCCTATCTCAAGCCCCACACCCAATTAAAAAAAAAAAAAGACATGGCACACATATCCTTTCCTCTCCAGCACATGAAGAACTAACCCCATTTTAATGGAGCATTTGGTGGGGATGCCATGCTTTTGAAAAGCCTGAAATTAGGTGGAGATGTTTATTTGGAGGTACTATCTGGATGTTCTTAAATGCATGCAGATGGTATCTTGGTTAACCTCTGATGTGAATGTTTGACGATTGCCAACGACAGGATAAAATTCATTTCGGGAGATTTTGACATAGATTATGATAACATACAGAAGCCTCCCGTGTCGAGCAGCCATTCATTGTTAGGAAGTTTTCTTGGATTTTCTAATGTCAGCATTTCAATTGACTTTCCAGACTATATTTGAAGACGTAAGTGGCTTTGGTGCCTGGCATAGAAGATGGTGTGTTCTCTCTGGAAACTGCATCTCTTACTGGACCTATCCGGATGATGAGCGGCGGAAGGTAACTTAAATAGTCCTGCTCGGTGGGGGAGCTCTGGTGCTCCTCGTGTAGTGTCCACACAGGTGCCCCACTGCTGCTCAGCTGATTTCCTATTGTGCGTATTTCTTAGTTAAGGGTCCAGGCTGCAGACCTGTGTGTGTGTCTGAAAAACAGACAGAGAATATCTGTTCTGTCCATTCCTTGGGATCTGGCCACCCTTAAAATACCTTACAATATGTAGTTTTTTCCTTTAGGATGTTTCGTAGTAATTTTGTGTTGGAAATTTGGAAACTCAGCTTTATAGTTTATTAGTTAATTGATTTCCTATGTCTGTGGTACAACAGTAATGAAAAGCCATCCACAGTTGGCTTTGATTTTTGTTTCTAAAACTTAACAATAGGATTTCATTTAATAAATTACCCTCATTTTAAAAGATTTAGTATAATCACCCAAATAAGGTTATTTATTAGCCCCAAGCTAGAAACTAGAAGTAAGCAGAATTCAAAAGCAAAGTCATCCATAACAGGTAATTAACTGTTCCTGTGTTTTTTCTAAACTTTAAAAATATGTAATATGTAAAAATAATTATATCCATTTATGAATATTTTAAAAATAAAAAGCAGTGCTTTTTACAGTTTTTTTTCCTTTTATGCTGGCGACTGAGCCCAGGGCCATGACCACAATGGAGAAGTCTCTACCACTAAGCTACACCCCACGCATGGGCAGAGTCTTTGTCATCTGTTTTTTATTAAACCCTTCAAAGCTTAGTGATTCCTACTTGAAAAGCCCGTGACAGCGAGCATAATGAAATGTGTTGTGTAGGTAACATGCACGAGTTTTATGTAAAAATTTTTAAAAATTTCAATGTTTGACGTAAACGGGTTCATGATATATCCTGGCATCTTTCAGTGTTTATAAAGATGCGTCAACAATGTTGTGTTTATTAGTCATTAGATAATATTACATTGTTGTCATTAAAATTACTAATATTTTAAAAATATATTATGGCCCGATGTGGTAATGTTGTGAGCTTAGCACTTAGAAGGCTGACGCAGGAGAGTCGTGAGCTTGAAACTAGGCTGAACTACACTATAAGACCAGAAGTGAAATGTTTAAGACATGAAAATAGTTTCAGTCAACCTGTTACCAGACCAGGGAAAATTCCCCATGTAGTTCTCCACACAGATAATCCCTGGCTACAATTATTTATTGTTCCTAGGCATTTCTTAAGGTTTTTATTCTATATAGTAAGTATGGTACTGCAATTGCACATTTTAAAACATACAAATCATATATTCTGTGTATGCTATTAGGTCAACACATATGTGAGGTTAGTCCAGGTTGATGTGTGCAACTCTAGTTTGCCTCTCCTCTCTGCCGCATAGTATTCTGGTAGAAGGCCTTCCCACAATTTATTTATTCCTCTCCCTGTTTGTAGACACTTAGATTATTTCCAGTTGGTGCTTTATAAACAGTGCTGATGCGATTTAACTTTTTATGTACATGGGTGGACATCCTTTCTTGAGTTTCACCTGGTAGCAGCATTGCTGGCTGTGGGATTTGAACATCTTCAACTTGATTTTGTTTAATGATTCTTGAAAATGGTTGTACAATTTTCTGTTCCCACCAAGAATATCTAAGAGTTCATAGTTTTCCTCATCCCCCCTCAACGCTTGATAAGTTGCATCTTTTTAACCTATGGTCAGTATGAGATAGGCAAAAATGTCACCTCATTGTTGACTTTCTTCTGTATCTCCCTGATTACCAGAGTAAGGATCTTTATTTGTATTTATAGCCATTTGTATTTTTTCTACTATAAATTGGTTTTTTATGTTTTTCTCTCTCTTTCAGTAAACCATAATTATAGTCTTTGACTAGGTGACTCTTTTAGGTTTGATGAGCCTTTTCATGAGTGAAATGTTAAGGACAGCTCTGTCAATCCATTACATTGTTTGTGCTTTTCTGAGTCTTAAGAAAATGCCAGGTGCTTGTAATCCCAGCCTTCTGGAAGCTGAGGGGGGCCGGTTAGCAAGAGTTTGAGGCCAGCCTGGGCTGTATAGCTGGACTCTGTCCTAAAAACTGAATGAATGAATGAATGAATGAATGAATGAATGAATGAAAGAAAGAAAGAAGAAAGATTGTATGAATTTAATCATTTAGTTAACATGTTTGTTTCTAGGTTGCAATTTGTAGTAAGGCACTTGAATGCTTTTGCACCTAAATTTACAACACCATTGGCGATTGATTTGATTGATTTATTCATTGAGCAAGATAAAAATGAAAAGCCAAGGAAAGAACCTAAAGGAAAAGATAGATAGACTCGTTGACTTTTTACTCTGCAGTCGAACAGATTTCTCTTAAGCCCCGTATGGTGGCTCACATCCCTTGTCCCAGCACTCAGGAAGCCGAGGCAGGAGGATCACCACAAGTTCAAGGCCAGTTTGGCTTATGTAGTAAATTCAAGGCTGCCTGAACTACATAGTGAAACTATCTCCAAAACAAAAACAACAAAAAAAGAATTTCTCTCATATCTCCCTCTAAAGTTACAAAGTTTTATAGTTCACATTTAGTTTAACCCAAATTGATGTATTTTTCTGGACTGTTTTTTTGTTTTTTCCTACCGTGCCCAATGTTGTGAAACAGTTCCTCCTCCCTGACCTGGTTTGCAGTACCATTCTTGTGTGTATGAAGCTAATCTATGTATGTGGATAAAATGTCATTGCGTATGTTGGTTTAATTTTAGGCTTCTGCGCTGTTTCCTGTGATCTGTTTCTCCACCGCAGTCTCAATCATTTTGGCTTTAAAATGGGTTTTACTGCCTGGTAAGGCACCTCTCCTAATTTGTTTTTGTTTTTGTTTTGCTGTACCAGAGATTGAACTCACAACCTCGTGCTTGCCAGGCAGGCATTTATGCCGCTGAGCTAAATCCCCAGACCTCCTAATTTGTTGTTATGCAGCAGTGTATCACTGCTCTTGACCTTTGTTTTTTTCACATGTACACACACACATACACTGACATTATGTATATTTATCTTTTATAATTAAAAATATTCAAATAGTTATAACACAAATGACAAAAGGTATAATGCATCCCTGGCTTCAGTAAATATTCTCGTGTTTTGTTTCTGTGTCCACAACACACAAAGCTTGTATTCTTGCTGCTTTGCCAGGGGTATTATAAGCAGTTATCAGACTTCATGTGAAATCATCATGTCTTCCCTGGGAGGCCAGGCTGTGGGGTCCTAGTGCTGGCCGAAGGCCAGTGAGGATTTCAGGCTGGCTAACTCTGCTGTATTCTGTCTTCTGCACTGATTTTGGCCATGACAGTTTCTTCTACTTTATGAATATATGTTAATTATCTAGCATTTGAGGGGTTATGTAGTGGGAGGAGGGACTATTTCAGACAGTTCAGTTTGCCACTTATGCTGGAAACAAAATTACTTATCTTTTTAAAGTATATATTTGGTTTTTTTTCCAGACAGGGTTCTGCTATGTAGTTCAAGCTAGTCTTGAACTCACTAGGTAACCCAGGCTGGCCTTGAGCTTGCACAAGTCCTCCTCTCCCAGCCTTCTAAGTGCTAGCTGAGATTACAGGCCTGTGTCACCACACTGGGCAGAACTATAAAATCTTGTGTTGTTTGTTTGTTTGTTTTGTTTGTTGAGACAGGGTTTTACTATGTAGTACAGGCTGGTCTCAAACTCACGATGATCCTCCTGAGTAAGCCTCCCAAGTGCAGGTGTGTGCCACCATGCCTGGCAACATAAAATCATTATTTAAATAGTCCCCTGATGCTGTTATTTAATTTTTTTACTATTAAGAAAAACGATGATTGCATATATATAAACATCTCTGTGATGATGATGATGATATGCTTTTTCGTGGTACAAGGATTGAACACAGGGCCTTCACACTGAGCCACACCCCCAGCCTCTTTTTATTTTTTATTTTACACTTTGATCAGTGGGTATAAGAATTTCTGTGACCCTCCAACCAATCAACACAGACTTTATCTACACAGACTTAACCAGTGTAAGGGTTTAAAGTGGTGTATTTTAATTTCTCTTCTTCATTACTAACAGCGTTGACAGTTTCATTGGCTTCATAGATTGCATGTGCCTTTGTGTGTGCCTTTCTCCTTTCCAGGACCATTTGGTCTCATGAATTTTTACCCCCCATTTGGTTCTTGCAGCACTGGAGTGACAGGGCTCCCAAAGCCACAGGGCAATCTGGCCTTACCTTTAGGGATACATAAAATATTTACACACCAAATACGATGTCTAGGCTTTTGTTTATTGAAAGAGGAGAGGGAGGTGTGGATAAAAGGTAGCTGGATTTGTGCTTCTGATTGTTGAAGCTGGGTGAAGTATTTACGGCTTCATTTTTGTGTTTAAGTTTTCCACATCCATAATGGTGTTTTTGTTTGTTTCGTGTTTCTTTGTTGCAAGTTCATAGGATATTTGACAAGAATCATCAGTTGATAGCTTTGGTTTCAATTTTTATTCTCAGCAAGAAATAGTAATAAATACTGAATACGTTTCTTTCAGCCCAGTGTAACTCAGTGTTAACTACTTTTTTAGTTTAAGAAATAATTTTTTTCTTTGTCAGTTCCATGATTAAAAAGACAATATTGATCTGAAATAGACAAGAGACAATCTGAAACAGAATTCTCTCTACAAGTTTAGCTTGTGAACTTAACAGCACTGCACCGGGTCACAAAAATCCTGCAGCCAGCCGGTAACATACCTTATTCCGAGCTTCACAGCAGGGATACTAAAGCATTGCCAAAACCGTGCTAGCGACAGAACAGCCTCACTAAGGCGTTAAGTCATACACTCTTGATGTACGAAAAGCATTTAAAATATCATCCTATTTCCTACAAAATATCATTTTCCAGAAACGCACAGATTTACTGAATCAGGTAACTGAGAACTGGAGCTCTTCTTCCTCTGCAACTCCAGGTTTTCTTTCCTCCCCAGTATCTCCTGCTAATGATTCAACTGAAGAATCAGTAATCAACTGTGGAATAGGACAGTGTGGAAGGGAACCCGGAAGGGCACAAAAAATGGTCACTTCCGAGAGTTGCTGGTGCTCCGGAGACTCTTCACGAAAGAGGCTTGCATGTGGCTGAGTCAATGTTAACTTTCTCTTTAAAAATTTTAGTTTTTAATTTAAATTGACAAGTAGTAATTGAATATGTGTATGAGGTACAATGCAGTGTTTCAGCGCATATGTGCACTGTGAATTAAGCCGATTTGCTTCCTGTCATTTCAAATACTTATCATTTCTTTGTGGTAGGAACATTAAAAATCCCTTTTTAGCTATTTTAAAATACACATTTGTGGGGCTGGGGATTTAGCTCAGCGGCATAAGCACCTGCCTTGCAAGCAGGCGGTCGTGAGTTCGATCCCTTGTACTGATAAAAAAGGAAAAGACAAAAAAATAAAATAAAATAAAAAATAAAAAATAAACATTTGTATTAGCTGTTGTCGTTGTGCTGTGCAGAAGAACGCACTCCTCCCCAAGTTTTCAGCTTTGTTCCTGTTGACCAGCATCTCTGTTTCCCCTCCACCTCCCCTTCACCATTCCCTCCTGCACTCTCTGGATTTGAATTTCTGAAATCCTATACAAAAGTGAGGTCGTGTATAACACGTGTCTCTGTGGCTTAACATAATGTCTCCTAGGTTCATCCGTGTTGCTGTGAGTGAGAGTGTCCTGCTCCCTTAGAAGGTTGAATAGTACCCCAGTATGCAGGCCCATGTTCCTCTGTTGATGGGCACCTGGGGCGTCTGTGTGTCTTGGCCCTTGTGCGTGAGCCTGCCATCCACACGGAGTGCTGGCAGTTCTTCGACATACTGATTTGAGTGTCTTTGGGTGCACAGCCATAATGGGACTGTGAGCGTATCCTAATGCTTTCTTTTTCCTTTTCAAATTTTGAGACAGGGGCTCACTCTGTTTCCTAGGGTGTCCTGAACCCAGGTTCCTCCTGCTTCACCTGACTTGGGTAGCTGGGCGTATAGGTGTGCACCATCATGTCCAGTGCTTTTTAGTTTTAATTTATGTCAGTCTGCCTACTCTTTAATGCTTATTGACTCAAATAGTTTTATGTACTTTTAACATTGTTATTTATTTATTTATTTATTATTTTATTTTAAAGAGAGTAAAACTAAACAGAACAAAACAGAACAAAGTGGATCAGAAGAAAATAATGTACATGACACAGATTTCAAAGCAAGACAACAGGCGATCTTCATTGTCTATCATATTGTCTCTTGTTTCTTCTAAATAATTGTCCGTATCTTGACATACAGTGAATTCATACAAAACAAAATAGTATTAAACTGATCAGAACAGAGTGATGAAGGCATTACAGGCCTTCAAAACCATACAATAGGGAAGTCAACAATGGCTGCCATAATGTCTCTCGTTCTCTTCAAAATGGCTGTCCACACCTTCATGTATGTTGAAATTAAACAATACAAAACAGTAAAATCACTCTGAACAAAGAATAATAGTATTGTTGGATTTCACTGCATGACACTACGGAATCAGCACTGGATATCATGGTGTCTCTTTTTCTTCAAAGCTGTTCATTTCATCATGCATTGTATAATCAGTTCTGTTAGTTTAGAAGTTCTACACATGTATAAGCCTCTACATGCACATCTATCCTTTCTGTATTAGAGGGAAGAACAAAACAAAACAAAACAAATTACTAGGAAAACACGAAACAAAAAAGACATAAATAACAGTAGCAAAGAGCCCAAAACACTGACAATACAGGCCTTCAAAACAGGGTGGTAGGAGCATAATTAGGGTTGTTATTTTATTTTACATAATGATCTTTAAGACTTCCTCAGATCACAATACAATAATATACACAATTGTTCCAATCCTGTGAATGTTAACTGTTTTGTTTTGTAGCACAATCACTTAGCTATCGTGTGTTTATATAAGTTTAGATATTTTTCTTTTCACTTGCTTTTTCTTTTTCCTCCTTTATTTTTAAAAGTTTTAATAGTACATGTCTGCCACCCATAATGAACACATTCATCATGGGGAATTGGTGCATATACGTAACACATCTTGATTCTCTTTACTTCCCGCCCTCCCCTCCCCCTATTTTCTGCTAATATTTTAAAAATTTACTTGTCTAGAATCCCATAGGAAGGTTGAACCTGGCCAATTGTACCAGCCGTCAGATAGAACCTGCCAACAGAGAATTTTGTGCAAGACGCAACACTTTTGAGCTGATTACTGTCCGGCCACAAAGAGAAGACGACCGGGAGACTCTTGTCAGCCAGTGCAGGGACACGCTCTGTGTCACCAAGTACGTACCGCCCTGTTCTGCTTTGTGCTAACCATGTCGCTGTTGCCCGTTATGTTCTTCTGACTCTGAGGACGTCCGAGATGGTCCTTGACTCGAGCAGGGAGCCGCTGCAGCGGGAGAGCACGCGCTGCAGTGAGAGCAGTGTATGAATTGATACCGGTGAGACGGCTTGGTGTTCAGGTTATGTTACAGCAGGCCCTATTCGCACGTAGCACAGCGTGGCACTTTCAACGCCTCAGCTCTTTTTTTTTTTTTTTTTTAACGCCTCAGCTCTTAATCTCTGGGTTAAGATTAAATGAAAAGCCAAGCATTCTTCAAGGATTATGAAACTTTCCTTTGCACTACTGAGAGACCTCTCAGTTTATAAAATGACATGACTTATGAAAACAGACTCATTCTGTAAAGTTCTAATTGGAGGTTAACAGAAGAAATTCTGGAAGTGCCACTTTTTTTGTGTGTTAACTTTGAGCTTAAACATATGTGTATAACAAACTACTGTTAAGAGACGGACATGCGTTCTTTTGGTGAGATAGAAGAAACTTGAAGCCCAACTTCAGTGTACAAATTTAGGATTGGGGAGCAGCTGGAATTTGTCAGTCTTATTTGTCAGGCTGTTGGCAGATGTCACAGACAGGGAGGTCAGCAAAACTAGCTCCATGGTTCCTAGTGCAAAATTATTAGAAAGCTATATCCAAGAGACATTATACCAAAGTAGAAGAGTTGTCTGGAGACTGCCAGTGTGATTCAGAGTAACTAGAGCACCCGTGCTTGATGTGTAGGTTACTTTCAGATTCATTCATCTTGGCTCTTGGACTCCTCTCCTTAGGGAGACTTTCTGTAGCAGTAGTATCAGATAGGTCAGGGGATGCAAAACAGGATTATAATTGTTGTGCTAAACAGGATTATAATTGTTGTGCTCCATAACTGACCTGTCTGTGCCCAGCGAGAGGACCAGCCAAAGCACAGCACTAAACAGTTCTGATCACAGCAGCCCCTTTGGTGCCTTGTAACACTGTCACAGTTGTCATCTAACCCTGTCTTCTGCCTACTGCAGGAGCCCTCCCGCACTTCTCCTGGGCCTCCCCCTTGGCAGAAGCAGCGGGACCACATGTTGCTCTAATCATCCTGACCCTGATTTCTGTGTAGGTTCCTTCCAGTATCACCATCGCCCAGGCATGTGCACCTTTGCCCAAGTGCATCCCTGAGCTCTGCATCCTTGGTTCAGACCTGCCCCGTGTCTTGAGCTTTGCTTGGGAATCTCAAAGTTGTTTCACAACAGTATAAACATTCTGCATCCCCCGTCCCTTAATGATCTGTTAGGGCCTTTTCAACCTCAGCCTTATATTGAAATTTAATGTATATCATTTTCATTTCTACCCACCAAGCTTGCTGTCTTCCTTCTGCAATTCAAAAGATTTCTTTGTTGGTTACTTCAAAATAGACACTATTCATTTGAACTAGAGATGCTTCAGTAGTTGGGAGGCAGGATTTTGTAGTGCACCTTTGAAGCTAACAGAACTAAAGTGTTTTGATTTTTTTAGTTGTTTTAGTGTTAAGGAGCAAACCTAGGAGCTTGTCCCTAAGATGGTGCTCTACTCTCCCCAGGCCAACTGACCTCAGTTTGATCCCAACTCAATAACTAACCAGACTCAGCCATGGCAGATCACTCACCTCTGCAGCCCACTAAATTCTGTGTCAAAAGGAAGAAAATAAATGTCCCAGAGTGACCAAGAATCCTGAGGTGACACTCAGCACAGTGACAAGCAGGGGCAACAGCCGTGGTCATCCCTGTAAGGAGTCTTCTCCCCACTGACCGAGAGGGGATGGTGGAGGTGCCACTGATTCATACTCGTGCTGCGCCTCATACTTGGGCACAGCTGTAAAGATGCAGAATTAGTACAGTGTCAGAGACCTGCTGGGCGTGCGGCAAAGGCCTGTAATCCCAGCACTCTGGGACAGAGGCAGGAGCTTCAGAAGGTTAAGCCCAGACTGGGCTATTTAGCATCTCAGTAGGACCCTGTCTCAAAGCACAGTAAGGGCTAGTGATGTAGCTCAGTGTAAAGGTACTGGTTTAAGTCCTCCATACCACAAAAAAGAAATGACAGGCAATGAAGACCCTCCTAACAGCTGGCTCTTCTCTGTCGCACGGTGGCCTGGCTGTAAGTTAAAGGATTCCTCCCACCCCCTGCCTGCCCCACCAACTTGTTATTCATTCCATTTGTAGCTTCATAAGGATGCAAGGAAGAGATTGCTAATATAACAGAGTTTAGGATAGACAGCCTTAGGATCTTGAGATCATTTATTTTAAATATCCCGGTCCACTAACATTGTAGGGCAGAAATAATGGGGAACAATGCAGAGCAGAATTACTTGCAGGGCCGGTGATGGCCCTGAGCCTGTAATCCTACTGTCACGGAACCTGGCACCAGAGGTCATTGGAATGCAGGGCTCGAACTGGGGTCCTCCTGCTGGGAAGCAGCCTGCACACAGTAGGTGTCCCACTCAAAAGGCAGCTGTACAAACACCTTCTTTGACTGGAAACACTACTCTGAAAATGGAGTGAGGTATTATGATCAGCTAGCCAAATTGGGGTGTTTGTATTCTGCTGGGCTTGGAGAAGCATCTCCGTGGTTCTGGGGTAGCTCCGTAAAAGATGGTAAAATACCGATTTACAGTTTACAGTTGATGCTGTTCCCCTGTGTGGGTACCTGAGGTGTGGGTGGAGGAAGGGAGAAGGTGATGCTACTTTGTTTGCTCCCGTAGGAACTGGCTGTCTGCAGACACGAAAGAGGAGCGGGACCTCTGGATGCGGAAACTCAACCAGGTTCTGGTGGATATTCGCCTCTGGCAACCGGATGCCTGCTACCAGCCTATTGGAAAGCCATAAACTGCAGGAATTTCCACATCATGTGGAGACTTGCTTGTGCGATGTCATAAATATATCTTCAGAGAAAGCATACTTTAGAGCATCAGATTTACTGATTGCATTTTGAGCTTTACACAGGGAAGGGTTTGTGCAAATGTTCACTACATATTATGCAGTATTTATGTCTTTTGTATGTAAAACTTCAACGGCTTTCATTCATAAGTGATTAGAAGTCAGTTCGTTATAGTTGTTGTTACTAAATCTTAATTTAAAAGTCTCATTTGCCTAGAAATATAATTGTTCAGTTGTCCATGGCAAAATATTTTTTTAAAAGTATCTTTGGTCTCAGGGTGGCAAGGTCTTCCAGGGTTGGCAGCCACCTCCAGTTTGGGGATCCCTTCTTAGGCTCAGTAGGTTTTTCAAAATTTTATAGTCTCCTGGTCAATAATTTGTTAATATAGTACTGAAAAAATATTTCTAAGGGACCCTAGAAGCATTTTTAGTATTGAAGATGAGCACTTTTTCAAATAGCAAGTGGACTAGTTTAAAGCTCAAGGCTACCTTCAAGAAAAGGCAACATTGTGTGAGATTTGGGGTTAAATATTTTGTTTGGAAGAGTTAATCACATGGTTTACGTTTACTCAGTTACATATGCAGTGTGGTGCACATTTTCATAGAATTCATGCTTTATCGAAATAATTATTTTTGCCGTATAGCTTATAGACCCCAAACATTAGCATATTAATTGTTTCTGTCCCTGTAACAAGAACAAATGTAAATTAAAGAACCTTTATATTAAAAGAAGTAAACTTTTACCAAGCTGCTATAGAATAATACTTTGCTCGCCAAAGTTCTTGTGTCTTTTTTATGTCTGTATCACAGTATGTAGCAACCTGTTTTGAAATCATTCTGAAAAGGTTAATCCATGTATTACCTATATCAGCTAATATCTTTTGTCGTTCTAAAACATTTGTAAAGCATGGTCTCAACGTTTAGGTACACTTTGAACTTCTTTTATGAATTGTTAATTGAAATTTCATTTAAAACACTAAACTCTGTCACTTCCTGTTTCCTTTTTCATTCAAATGTTTTTCTTATATATATTATAAAAATATATTTTATGACCTCTTACTGAAATAAACACTTGTACATGGCTTATGACATCAGTTATTTATTTGTTTATTTTTTGTCTTTTTTAAAGACAGGGTTTTACTATGTAGTTCAGGCTGGCCTTGAGCTCACTTTGTAACCCAGGCTGGGCTCAAACTCACAAAGATCCTCCTGCCTCAGCCTCCAAGTGCTGGCATTACAGGCATTGTACCACCATGCCCGGCAACATAGTTATTTAAGAAAGGCTGTGTGGTGCAGCCCTGGAGCTGGGCTTCCTGACGGTACCATTCTGGCAGGATCACGTGCCAGGTATCCCTCCTGCAGAGCTGGCTCTGTGGGTTCTCAGTGTGGCTGTGCATGCATTGGACGAGGGGCCTACTTGTGAGGCATGTCAGTGCAGTGTGGCAAGGGAATATGTGCTGGAGGACACAGCAGGTGATTCCCAGGTGCCTACCAGAGGTGACTGTGTAACAGGAAATAGGTTTGCTAGGACCAATGAGAAGTTCCCTGGTATTTATGAATTGGCTTGTGTTTAATTTGGAATAGGGGTAACATATAGGGTACACAATTCAAGAGACACAAAGAAGTTAAGGTGAAAAGTCTTTTATCATAAGCACTAGTAGCAGTTTTTGTGTGTCTTCCCAGAGAAAGATTATACTTGTTACTTAAAACTATTTTCTTGTTCCTGAGAGTTCCGTACATACTGTTTGCTATGATGTAAAGAAAAAGCAAAAGAGATCTAAGTTTATTATATTAAGAGTGTATGTAAAGCTCGATTTTAGAAGAAATTTAGGTTCAGGTGATTGTGGAACATCAAGTTAGAAACACCCCATCGAATGGTAGAAAATACTGTTCTGGCAGTTTCACCAGCATGGCCCTAGAGGGGCTTTGCTGGAGCCATTAGAGTGGGCGGGGTCACCCGGACAGTACGATGCAGAAAGAGAAATAATAATGAAGGGAACACTGTGCTTCAGGGGTAACGTGGAAAAGTGTAGCGGGAAAGAACAGCAGGGTGCTCTGGTGAGACCAAGAAGAGCCTCAGATTGGACTATGAGATCATAAAGCAGATGAAAGAAAGCATAAACTCCCATGTGCAGAAGTCATTTGAGTACGGTGGTTCAAATAAAAATCAAGTTATAGTAAAACCCATGGAGACTATAGATTTGAATACATTAGAAAGCTTACAGGGCAACTCATTTGGATCGCTTTCTGTCTCCCAATAATTTTCTTTTTTAAGAAAGTCCTTATAAATGTATATAGACAAAGGTAAGACACGAGCAATAACTGAACTAATGTGTAAAGAGCTGTCATTTAGCATCTGCTATGTACCGAGTGTTCTCTTGGTGTGTGCAGTCTCATATGACCTTCATGACCTTGTGAAATCAGCATTGAATGTAAACCTTTTTGGGTAACTTTTTTGAGGCCACACTTAACGAGTAACAGACAAGGGCATCAGCCCAACACTTCCAGAATCAACATATTTCACTGTTTGTCAGTGGTATTTGTTAAGTGAATAACAAAAACTTTTTAACTGAGAAGGTAAATCATACTAGCAGAAATTGTGCACATATAAACAAATCCACAGCTAAGAATTGTGTAAAAATAATATAAACAGAGAAATGCAAATTTAGGTGACCATGGGTTATGGGACCACAGGCTGGTAAAACTAAGCCAGGGTTGATTAGGTACAAGCCCTACACCCTTGGTGAGAGTAGGGGCTGATACAGTCTTCTCAGATGCTGATTTGTTAACTTCCAGGAATCTGCTAAAATACTAAAGATTTTCTAACAAACCACTCAAATTCCAACGGCATCAAGGAGCACTGGCAAAATGGAGAGGTCTCCTTACCTCCTGCGGTGTGCAGGCTCTGGTTTTCCTGTGACACCTTCCTTCCCGCCCTGGATAAGAGATCTCTAGCCTCTGGTGACAAAGCTTTGGGTCCTCGTGGGAATCCTGCCAAAAAAACCCGCGGATTCTAAGTGTATTTACTGCATGAGATCCTTAACCAGCCACATCCTGCTAATAGCATTCCACAGATTAAAGTCCCCTTGCCAAATATCAATCTATTTACTGGGAGGTCCAGTTTTACAAGAAATTTAGATGTGGTGTTGGTCATTTTTCTCTAAAAGCAAAGTTTAGCCGTTCAGCTTCTCCCCACCCCTCCTTAGACAAATTTGCATGTGAGCAGAGATGAACATAAAAGGATGATCATTGCAATGTAGTTTCTAAACAAGAAAGATAGAAATAAGCTGAAATGTCACCAATAGGGAAGAAAACTAAAAATAATCTTTAAGCGCACTGCTAAGAAATCATGGTACAGTGTCCCGTGGAGGGACCAAAAAGAATGAAGCAAGGAAGGGGATTTCTGGATGAAGAAATAACTGTTACTATGCTGACATGGAAAAGGTGAAGAATGGGAAGATTAAAAAAAAAAAACCACAAAACATGAGGATGAATTGAAGGAGCACGATGATGGCTGATATGACCAGAAGAGATGGGTCCAGAGCCCCGTGCTAACACCCAGCATTGAATAAGGCTCAGAGATAATCCCCATCCCTCCCACCCTATGCCTCGTGTTCAGAGACGGGGCTTTGGGAAGCTGTGTGGGTCCTGGGGCACTGTGCTTACTAGTGGGCTCAACCATTGATGAGTTCCTGGCTGAATGTGCTGTTAGGGGGTTACCCTGGCTAGCAGTGGTTCGCTGGGGCACTGTCCTGCAAAGGAGCACCGTTGTCTCTTGGAATGACCTGCGGGGATGTTCTTGTCCCTGGCTCCTTCCTCCTCTCTCTGCTTCCTGGCTGCCATGAGGTAAGCAGCTTTTCTCCACCAGACCCACCCTTCCCTTTCCCGCCTTGGCACCAGCTCACCGTGGACTGAATCCTCTGAAACTTGAGTCCAAACCAACCTCTTCTTTATGTTCGGGTGTTGTGTATTTTGTCCAGTGATGGGGAAACCATGAATGTAGTGCCTTTGTGAGTTCTTAAGAAACAGGTGCATGGACTGAGGTCGTGTGCGTGGGCAGGCAGCTGTGGAGTGATGCTCGGGCCTGGCTCTCCTTTCTCATGACATGTGCCGGCTATGGGAGCCCTGCAGAAGCAGGGGCCCTTCGTGTCGAAATGTCACACGACTGTCTCAAGACAAGGCCCACAGTGCCCTCAAGGAGACTGCAAAGTCGTCAAGAGCAGAGGTCTCTAATTCCGAGAAAGTTTGTGCTCTAGAAAGTCTGAACTCTAGAGACAGCCCCCCACACCCCCAAGGCCAAGTGGATGTCTGTTTTTCAGCAGAATTTTTAAAAAGGTACGAGCATTTTAAATTCCCATCATACTGGGAATATTACCATTTCAGATTAAAATCCGTATAGTCCTTTAATCGACAGAATCCATGGGAATGCCATTTTATCCTTCATTATCTATTTAAAAATACACAAATTCTTTTGAGAAACTTTAGGGGCTTTCAGTCCTTTCACGTCATTTTTAATTAATATGGTTTATATTTTTGTGTTTCAGCAAAATATGCAAAAATGAAGCCATTTTAAAGGAGTTTAAAACAAATGGAATTATTGTTATATTTATTTTTAGTTCATAATCAAGACAAATGTTACACATCTGTTGGGTGGGGTACTACACACCTATCATCCCAGCCCTCGGGGAGGCTGAGGCAGGAGGATTACTGTGAGTTCAAGGCCAATCTGGGTTGATAATGAGTTCAGGACCAGCCTGAATTATATATTGAGAGCTTGTTGCAAAACAAAACAAACAAAACAAAAACCCAGAGGAAAAAAGAGTTACATATCTACTGGAATTTTGGCCTAGCCTCAGTCTCCCTAAAGAGTGTGGTGAACAGTTTAAATCAAAAAGACAAATGGTACAATTGGAGGGCTCCAGGAAAGCCAAAACCCTCTAACGGAATTCGTGATTCCCTGGGCACTGAGACAAAGGACTTCACTGGGCGGCCCATATTTATTTGGTTTTCAAACAAAGGAAGGGGATACCAGGGTAAGTGCAGGAACTGAGCAGGACCTTGGGAATTTGTTCAAAGTCTTTCCCAAGTAGTACCTTTGGCCAATTAGGAGAATGGTTGTCACGGTTTATGTGTGTGTCCCCCAGGCCTCGTGAGCTTGCATCGTGTATTTGTGATGGTTCGTTGTCTAGTGCTTGGATTGATGGTGTCAGTGCTCCACCCACATAGGGGTGGAGCCAGGATGTGATGTAATGGCAGGAAGAAGGTATGTCTTTCTCTTTGCTGGTTCGAGCTTGCTGTTGGAGGCTGCCATGAACTGCGGTCCAGCCATGCCCACCTGTCTTGGAACCAACTGAGTGTGGACTGAAACCTCCAAAAACTGTAAGAAATAAACCTTTCCTTTCCCAACTTGGGCATCAGGTATTTTGTCTCAGCGATGAGCATAAAGTAACTAAGACAACGGTCTTATTGCTAAGGTTGACGACTTTACAGCTCTGGAGCGGGCCTGTCATTGCCCGTGTCCATGGCTGCCTCACACCGTGGCTGTCTTGACCTCAGGGCACCAGGTAGACACCCTCTTCCAACCCAGCCAGAAGTGTCCCCGTGTAAACCCCGCACAGCTGGGTCTCCAACATACATCGGGAAAGATTTAAACAGTAAAACAATGCAGGAAATACACACTTTCATGAGGCAGATGGGCTTGTCATTGCTTACATGATGTATTTTGAGTAAATTTCTATGTCTAGAGCTTGATGTGCTTCAGCATCGGTTAGATTACATTAGATTACATTTCTTTATTGTCTTTAGGAATCACATCAGTGGATGGAAACTTCTAGAAGGAGCTTTGACATAGCCAAGTTGTGCAGGACACTCAAGCTTCAAATGATTTATCAGAAATTATTCTTAGGTAGAAGACAGGTAGGTGGACATGATCAATATATGATAAATGCACGCATGGGGATATTGAAGTGATTCCCATTAGTTTTTACAGTTGATATGTTAATTACAATTACCAACTTTTTATTTTATTGGTACATTTTAGATATACATAATGATCACACTCATCACAGGAAGTTTGTACCTGTATATCT